AAGTAGACATTCTAATCTATTTTTATTATAGTAAAACTTTGATTAGTTGGAACATTCTGAATCTAGAAATAGTCAGCTCCCTCACTCCACTCACTTGAATTTTTGACAGGAGAACATAAAGAGACAAGGACATCATCATCTCTCACAGACATGCTAAGTACCCTGTCATGGTCACAAAGCCACTATGTTTACTGGGGAGTGCTTATGCCTCTTAGCAACAATTTTAGTGGCCTAATTTGAGTTGGTAGCTGTATTAGTCAGGATTCTCCAGGGGGACTGAATTAGGCAGATATATAGGTAGGAGATTTATTAGAGGTATTGGCTCATACAATTATGAAGGCTGAGTTGTCCCACAACAAGCCATCTGCAAGCTGGAGATCTTGGAATGTGGGCAGTGTGGCTCAGTCCAAGTCCAAAAGCCTTACGACCAGAGAAGTAGATGGTGTAATTTACAGTCAGAGGCTGAAGGCCTGAGAACCTGGGAGCGGGGGAGAGCACTGGTGTAAGCCCTAGAGTTGCAAGGCCAGAGAGCCTGGAGTTCTGATGTTCAAGGGTAGGAGGAGGAGAGAGGGGAAATCCTTTTCTTTTCTTTTTTGTTGTATCTGAGCCCTCAGCTGATTGGATGGTGCTCCCCCCAGCATTCAGTCCATGGCCTCACAATCCAGTTTCCTCTGAAAGCACACTTGCAGACTTGCCCAGAAGCAATGCTTTGCTAGTTCTCTAGGTATTTCTTAATCCATTCAAGCTGACACCTAACATTAATCATGACAGTAGCGAACTTCCATCACCTTGATTTCATTCAGCCTCCTTGCTGCAGTGATTTGCAACCTACATTCCTCCCATGTTTTTGTCCAGCTCTTGGCAAAAACTCCATAGTCATTTTAAAATTAGGTCATAACTGATTAAAATATTTTGTTTAAAGTTTTATTTACTTGTTTTACAAATGGTTTATGCTTACTGTGGAATGTCAATGCAGTGTCAAAATTCGCTCCTTAATTTGTACATATTCAAGTAAAAGTATCTTTCTCTATATACATTTGAAATCCCTATTACCCTGGCATCCAATTACTTTTAAAGCCTTATTCAATTGCATACTACAAATGAGTCCAGCTTCCAGGCTGGTGCATAAATTGTAATTTGGTGTTTTATTGATCATTCAATAAATGAGGCATAATGACTTATTCCATTATCCCAGGTAAGTGTTACCAACCAGAACTATGCTTGGGAGAAGGAATAGGAAAAAGATGTCAGGAAACCCCTGCATTCCCTCCCACCTGTTCCAAATAAGATGCCTCTCCTGCTTTATAAATGCCTTCAACAGGAGATACTGCCATTATTCCCTAACAAAGATGAAGCTTCAAATACAAGTGAGCTACCTTGGAGAGGTAACACATCAATTGAATTCACAATACATCAGTATGTGTATATTTAAGTTCAGAGTGTTTCCTGAGGTTATGACAGTGAGAATAGAAAGTTGGCTGAGTTCCATGAGGTTATCACAGGGTTGGTGGAGGTGCCAGCCTGCCTGGGAGGGTTTTACAAGAGCTGGGATGATGGAGGTAGTCTTTGCTGATTTCACAGCTCTACAGGTAACCGCACTAGTCATTAATCAGCCTTATACTTTCTTCTGAGTGGGGCAAAGGGTGCTGGGCAGGCGAGATTTCAAACGTTCATGGATTCCTGGCCATATGCTACTGCTGTAAGACCTACTTAAAAAAAATTTTTTTTTTTTTTTTAAATTTCAGCTCTGATTCTGGAAAGGAAAGGACAGGAAAGGACAAGCTGGTGCTGAAAATTCTGTGCAGGACTTCCCCCTCCTACGAGTGAGGGGAGAGCCATGTCATGGCACTACCCACTGACACGTGATCCACTCTGCTGGAGGAAAAGGGGAGGAAACTGATAACCTCAAACCGCAACCTGCATAGTTATTCTGGCCCTCTCAAGTTTGCCTTTTCATCCTGTGCTGGGTTGGCCCACTCTCTCCAGTGTTGTTAAAACACAAATTGGCAGTTGAGAGAGCACTAAGTAGAGACAGCCAGAACAAAGATCAAACTTGAATTACCATATGAAAAATCAACCTGATGTAGTATATGATAAAGTGAATTGACATGCATGCATGACAGACCAGCATGTTAATATGCATGTAGGCATTATATGTAAATGCATGCATACATATGTAAAATGTATACTTCTCTAAGACAAAATGAAATTATTTTTGTGTTTGTTTCATTTTTATTTTAGTTTTTCTGAACACGTGACTGGGAAATGTAAACTATGTATACATATATATGTATTAATACACACACACACATACACACACACACACACACTTCTTCACTGTCCTCAGTGCTATTGTCAACATGCAGTAGCAACTGGCAAAGTGAGATATAATTCTATCTAGTATGTAATCTGAGCAGGAAAGTCATGTTTTTGATGAGCACTAAGGAATAATTCTCCTTATGAGCTGGCAATAAAATTCTTTTTGTGACCTCAAATTGAGATCATGCATGCTGCCCATGGCCTCTTGTAGATCCTTCTTCTATCTCTGCACATTCCTGGAAGCCTTTTTAAAGTGCCTTCTAGAATTTCACATCAGCCAGCAAAAATATTTATACCGAAATTGAGGCAGACAATTTTCTTCCAGGCCCCTTGATGCTGGAAGTATATTTCTACTTAATTTATATTGAATGAGATCTCCAATATGGACCCAACCTTGACAGTCCTTGGGCTTTGTCTCCTCCCCACCTTGCCCTTCAAGGCCATGAAAATGTCCATAAGCTAATCCTAGTTTAAGCCCTCAGCTTGTTTTCTGAAAGATGGTCATGCCATGCTGTTGGAAATGAAAATTCCAAATCTCACTTTTGTAATTATGCACCATACCCCCACCTGATGCCTGATGTAAGTAAGCATTTCAGTGATCCTGTTCTTTCTTTTTCGAGGCCAGATGGATTGCCAACTGCCCAGGAGCAGAAATATGGAAGAGTGGACATGTCCAGTGAGAATTCAAAAAGACAACCTGGCTTCTGCTTTCCAAATTCTCATCCACTAATGAGGGAGTCATAGCCAGCACAAATGCATGAGGAAAATCAAAATGATATAAGTATTAGAAACACATGGATAAAAGCCACAAAAGACCAATTCCATGACTGTAACATAGACCTACCTCTCGACTTTTTAGGAGAGCATTAAATTGAATAGGGCCTCTCTGACAATGTGTGACTACCTGTGAGTTTTCATGCTTCCAGAAACCCTGGGAGGACTCCCTGCCCTCACTCTCTCAGGATGGGAGGCCTGGCTTTGGCTCCCTGGACTAAGACACATTTCTAGTCTCTAGAAATCACAAAGTAAGAGGGCTCAGCATGATGTAGCATAGTGGAGCAGGTAATCTGGGGAGAAAGAGGCAGGAGTATGGAGATGGAGAAAGGCAAAGCGGTGGTGAATGGCTATATGGCAGGGACGGCTGAGGACAAGGAGAGTGGCTGGTTTCTGTGGAATACGTTCAGGCGGAGCTGGACATTACCACTGAGAGCAGTGTTCGTTAAACGTGCCCAGGCAGGAAGCATAATTAAAAAAGTAAGAACCCACGTTTTCAGAAAGTTTTCCCCTGGAAAAATCTGATTCAACAAGTCTAGGGCAGGGGATATGGAATCTGTATGTGTCTGTTTAATAAGTGATGTTATGATAGATAAAATACAACTTGTCTAAAAATATGGATAAAGAAGGAACTTCCAGAATTATCTTTAGCACACAGCTCAATGCAGAATTACTGGAGTATTGGATTACACGAAGATATAACAATAACCCTACAGCAGAACATTTGTAGGGAGCTCTGTCTCCCCGGCTAGAGTGCAGTGGCATTGTCTTAGCTCCCTGCAACCTCAAACTCCTGGGCTCAAGTGCTCCTCCTGCCTCAGCCTCTCAATTAACTGGGGCATGTGCCACCACGCCTGGCTATTTTTTTTTTCTATTTTTGGTTACCTGGCTAATTTCTTTCTATTTTTAGTAGAGATGGGGTCTCACTGTTGCCGAGGCTGGTCTTGAACTCCTGACCTCTAGTGATCCTCCTGCCTCAGCCTCCCAGAGAGCTAGGATTACAGGCGTGAGCCACTGTGTCAGGCAAAAATCCAGTATTTTTAGGATACCTGTTGTAAAGGATTAAACAAACAAACAAACAAACAAAAACTCTCTCCAGTGTTAGTGCCTGTCCTAGAGGTCAAAAAACAAACAACAAATAAACCCCAATATCTTAATTTTGTTCTTAACAAGAGCATTACGCCCTCTCTGTGTTAACTAAAGACTTGAAGGGAGTAAGCACAGGGCTCTGCAACCAGACCTTTAGAAGGGGACCCGGGGAAGAAGGCGTGTCGCCTGCTGCCACCTTGTGGGAGAATTGTGTGGTTAATGAGGACTGGCTGGAAGTCAAACGATTGGGTCCTTTAGTAAACATAAGTAACTTAAAACAAATCATTTTAAATCTTTTTGACCCTGTTTTCTCCTTAAAAAAAAAAAAGGATCATTACTATTCTACTAGATTTTAATATTGAGACAAGAAATGAAATTTTTAAAAGAAAAGTGAAATCACATATTAAGTATTCTTTTCACCATTGCTAATGCTGCTCTCCCACTTATGAGTAACAGAAATACTTATTTTCTTGGGAATATTCCTTTTTCTCTTAAGATGGTGAACGGGGTTCCAGAGTCTCCGCGTTGTGGGAGGCGGGAGGTGACACAGACGGGGGTGGGGTGGGGGTGGGGGAGGGGGTGGGGGGGTGGGGGGGTGGAGGTGTTGGGTGGCGGGGATTCTGCGACTGCGCTGGGTCTGCCCTGGGGCGAGCGCGTGCTCCGTGCAGCTTTTCCTGCTCTCTCCCTGGCGTGGCTGCACTTGGGCCTTCAGCCTCACCCAGCTAGCCCGACCATGGCTTCAGCTTAGGAAGAGCTACGGAAAGATGTAGAAGAGGTAAAGGTGTTGCTGGGAAAAGCCACTAGGAAAACAGTACATGATGCCCTCACAGCTGAAAAACCCAAGATCGAAACAGAAATCAAGAACAAGATGCAACAGCAAATCACAGAGAAAAGCAGAACTTCTTGACAACAAAAAGCTAACTGCTGTGGTTGCTTCCATTGCAATGGGATACACACACACGCACACACACACACACACACACACACACACACACAGTGAAAATCAAATCGCTAATTACAGAGGGATCACAGTCAGGTAAGTCTGGGAAAATCTATATTACCTTAACTGGAGTTTATCAAGTTCCCACCAAACATGTGGAGGTGCATTTCACAGATTGGTCATTGGATCTGCTGGTAAAGAATCTGAATGGGAAGACTTACTACTTCATGATCATAAACAGTCTCTTGAAACCCATGTCTTTGGAAGGCAGTTCAAAAAAAGTCAAGACTGTCACAGTTCTTCCCTTATTTAGAAAGCAAGCAGAAAACACATGGTGGCACTACCTGACTGAGGTTGAAAAGCAATGCGAAGAAGAAAGAAAACCTTCCTATGTCACTGAAATAGATCCTAGTGAGGGATTGATGAATGTTCTAAAGAAAATTTATGAAGATGGAGATGATGGTATGAAGCAAACCATTAATAAAGCCTGGGTGGAATCAAAGAGAAAAGCAAGCCAAAGGGGACACTGAATTTTGAGACTTTAAAGTCCTTTGGGAACTGTGATGTGGAAATACTGGTGTTTCCAATAAGGGAATGTTGATGAGTTGCATATAAATTTGACAGATAACTATTTACACAGCCTTCTAAGTAAATGCAATGAATTCTCCATTTCCTACTGGAGGATTTATTTAAATGAAATAGGCTCATTAAACATTTACTACAAAGATGGTTTTATTAGTACCCTGATCATTTTGTTCAAGAAAGGGTTATTTTGCATTCTCATGTGAAATATAAAAAGTCTTGCCTAATGAAAATGCTACCTTGTGTGTATTTTTGTCAGCTATGAGGTAGAAAACAAAAGTATTTGCTTGCCTTTTAGTTACTGACATCAGCTCCTACCAATATAAGGATAAGAGTAAAACCTGAATTTTTGCATAAAATGCAAATCTCTATCTATACTGGAAGGTTGCTGTAAAGTGGCTAATCTCTTACTACTAGCTTAAGCAATGCATATGCACTAATAAAATACAATCACAATTATTTCTATTTAGATTTAAATATATTTGTTTATGAATATAGAATAGAAACTAAATCTAAACTTCACAAGCATAGATAAACATCTTTGTATAGTACCAATTAGTAAGTTTTGTCATGGATCATATGGATTACAAAAGTAATGACCATTAAGCAAAAAATAATTAATTTGGAAGTCCATCTTATTCCTATGTTCAATAAAGTTAAATTTTTCTTTTGTTAAAAAAAGTTGGTGAACAGGCAGTGGCTGGTCAGAAATGGGAAATGAGGTCAATGAGCGAGGTCTCTGCCATCCTCCCCTTCATCTATTCCATTTTCCCAATTCTCTGGGGTGAGGCTACCTCTTTGGATCAGGACAGGCTACTATGACGATGTCAGATGGCTGATGGGGGTTTTCAGAAAACACAGATCTCACCAGTAGCTGCAGAATATAGTTACCTACTCTGGTGGTTAACTTTATGTGTCAACTTGGCTTGACCAAAGTCCCCAAATATTTGGTCAAACATTATGGATGATTCTGTGAAGACGTTTTTTGGATGAAGTTAACATTTAAATTGGTAGACTTAAGCAGATTATCCTCTGTAATTCGGGTGGGCCTCATCCAGTTGGCTGAAGGTCTTAATAGAACAAAGACTGACCTCCCTTTGAGCAAGAAGTAATTCTTCTAGCAGACTGCATTTGGACTCTAACTGCAAATCTTCCCTGGGTATCCAGACTTCCAGCCTACTCTGTAGATTTTGGATTCGTTAAGCCACCACAATCTGTGAGCCAATTCCTTAAAATAAATCTCTCTCTCTCTCCACACACAGGCACATACACACGCACTCACATCCTGTTGGTTTTGCTTTCTAGAGCAGTGATCCCCAACCTTTTTGGCAGCAGGGACCGGTTTCAGGGAAGACAATTTTTCCACGTACAGGAGTGAGGGTGAGAGGGATGGTTTTGGGATGATACAGGTACATTACATTTATTGTGTAGTCAAACCTCTCTGCTAATGAAAATCTGTATTTGCAGCCGCTCTAGCATCACTGCCTCAGTTCCACCTCAGATCATCAGGCATTAGATTCTCACAATGGCGCGCAACCTAGATCCCTTGCATGCGCAGTTTACAGTAGGGTTTGGGCAGCTAGGAGAATCTAATGCCCTGACATTAGATTCTGACAGAAGGCAGAGCTTATGTGGTGGGTGATGGAGTGATAGGTAGCAGCTGCAAATACAGATGAAGGTTCCTCCCCACCGCTCACCTCCTGCTTCCTAACAGGCCATGGCACTATAGCGGTCCTCTGCTGGGGTGGGGAGGGGGGTCCACAGCTCTAGAGAATCCTGACACCTGTGAAGATGTTAGATGACTGACTGGTACTTTCTCACCATTAGCTGAAGAATATGGTTATCTACATGGTGAAAATAATTGAATGTTCTAGAAAAACAGGCTCTCTTAATCTCTTGTCTAGCACTCTGAAGCATGGGTTGAAGTTAGGGGTGACCTAACGCAGTAGATCTGGCTCCATTTCCCTGAGATATTATCTTGGTTCTATCCATCCCTGTGTGTTGGCTCCATTCTCAAGAATGGTAGCAAAATACCATTTTTAGTTTCAGGCCTCACACAAAAAAATTGAAAGAAAAAACTGTTTCATTCCTAGTACTCTAAGAAATTCACCCTGGTTAAATTTTCCATTGCTGAGACTAGGACTTTGGCTTGGAAAATGGAACTTCCTATTTATATTAAGATAGTCCCTGAGATGGGTTTGAAATCAGCTTCCCCTAACAAATGGAATCAAGGGGGCTAAATGGATACGTGAATAAAATCCCAGTTCTGTTCTGTTAAGAAGGTGAAGGAGGGGGAATGGATGCTGGGTAGGCAACCAATAATGTCCACCAGATAGTTACCTAGTATCGGCAATTGATTTATCACAACACTCAAGTGATGATACTCAAATGAAAACTTGTGCCAAGGAACTGATAAGGAATAGTGGGATTATGGTAAACAGGAATAACATGACCCATTAATAAAAGAGGAAGCTGCTACTCTGCTCTAGGTAATGTGACCATTCAAGAATATAGAATTGTTAGATCTTCAATATTTTCAAGAGAAGTTGATAATCTGGATTTTTTTACATAAAATATATGTATTTTAAATGTTGGCAACTAAGTCAATTTTTGTTCTTGTTGTTAAGCACACAGGACAGCCAATACTGTCCAAAATAAAAGCATATTTCTTGGCCAAATACAGTCTGAACCTCTAGCTTACTTTGGTCTAGAACTATTGGTTGCCATTTAGTGGTTCTGTGGCTGCAAGGCTTGTTAAGAGCACAGCAGCCAAAGGAGAGAGATCAAAGAATGAGTGTCATTGTTTCATACATGCTTTTTAGCAGGTGGATCCCCAAAGACAGGTTCACAGGCTTCTGCATCACCAAATGAAATGTGAAGTCCATTTGGAGCCAGTTAATTACTTCCAGGTTAGGAAAGGTGTTCTAGCACCAGGCACCACACAAACTCTTGTTTTCCCAGTGTTCACTGTCTTACTTCATTTACAGGTAAGACCTAGGAGGTACAGGGACCAAAGTCATCATGCTACTAGAAATCCAATGTGGATTGATTTTTTCCCCCCCAAAGATGCATAAATTCCATTTTTAAAAAAGATACAGCAATCATTCTTTTATATCTGGACCTTTATCTGTTACCTGATGCTATTAGGTAGTTTATCACAGCTCTGCAAAGGCATACAGCTTTTTATTGATAGGTTAGATTAATTACCTTCCTATCTTAAAACACATTTAGTTTAACTGAACGGAAAATAGTTTGTGATTAAACAAACAAAAATAATGCTTAATTAGCTTAAAATATACTAGTATTAAAATCAGAGACTAAGTTGATTTGCATTTCTTATGGTTTCCCTGGTCAATTTCTTGCTCCCTAAAAGCACAAAGCACAAGAATGGTAGTTGTCGATCCTATTTACACATCAGAACCTAGAGGGTGGAGATGGGATGGAATGAGAGGAACATTTTTTATAAAGCGCCTTTATCCAGGCCCTACTCTAGAGGGACCAAAAACTCCCCACATGATTATAATGTGAAGACAGAGCTGAATACAGTTTCTTGTAAGAAAATTCTACAAGACCTGAAATACATCAAATCCTTTAGATTCTCTCCAGAACTCTTCATTTTAGCATGAAAGGGCTCTAAGGAACATTCTCATTAGGTATCTGGGGCTAGTTCTTTCCTGCTCAATGACTGACGGGACCAGCCGCCACACTGCAGTCTGAACGAGTCTCGGCAGATCAATGACAGGTAGCAGAACAAGGCACTTTAACTCTGTAGAAAAACCAGATCGCAGGAACAACGGCCACCAAATCAACAAAAGTCAGATGCTCCCCAATCTGGCGTAAGGTAGGCCCGGAAACTCCCAGAGGTTTTAGCTGGTAGCGGTTCCCGCCCCTCCCAAGCGTAGCTAGTGAGGCGGCGCTTTCTCCGGTCGCTGGCGCCCTCGCCTTACGTCACTTCCGCCCGGCGGGGTCTCACAGTCCAGGGCAAGATTGAAGCGACTTCCTCTTTTCTCTCCCTTCTTCCTCTCCCTGGTTCCGCCTCCCGGAAGCTTTGCCCTGTCTTCCCCGCGGGTCAGGGGTGAGAAGTAACACGGCTGCGCTGGCCTTGGTGAGCAACTGCCGCGCGTTCTGCGTCGCGGCGGCGCGAGTTAAAAGAACCCAGGTTAGATCCCTACCTAGGGCGTGACGGGACTGTACGGGCCCTCGGGAATCTCTACCCTCTTCAGTTCTGGGGCCCCCGTCTCCCGGGCCTGCAACTAGCCACGCTGAGGTTGGGGTCCTTGGCTCCAGGCGAGTGGGATTGCGGCCCTTGCTTCGCTTCTGTCTCTTCTCTTTCCAGGCGAGATCCTACTCAGGTTGTTGAGGCTGATACGCCCTTCTTGGAGTTTGAATTGGAAGAAGAGTCGTTTTGTAGTCTCCTTGGTGGCAGGGTCATAGTCTCGGTAGTGGCAGGGTTGCTTTCTAAAGTAGCCAAAATGCTTTAGCATCCGTTCCTTCTCCTTTGAGCTCCGAAACCCTGGGAGGCAGGTAGGACAGACGAAGAATATATTCGCCTCCATTGTGCAGATGAAGAGACCGAAGCTCTTGGAGAACTCGTACTTTTCCAAGGCAACATGGCTAGCTAAGAGGTAGAACTGGGGATTCACGCCCACACCTGACTTACCTAAGTTTGCACAGAATAGTTGGATAGCATTTGGAAATAGGGGAGACACTGCAGGCCTTAAAAGGAGAGCTGGAGGTTCAGAATGCTTTGTTTATGTCCTGTGTTCTAAGTTTTTTCTATAATTATATCATCCAGTCCTGTAATAAGCGTACGAAGTATATACTGTAGTTACTACTGGTTTAGGGAACTGAGGCTCAGAAATGATAACTGACATGTCCTGTATTAATGGCTTAGTAGACATTTCCCAGATCTCTTTCAGTTTTATGATTTCCAACACTGTAGGATGAATATCTCATGATCTAACTGTCCTTTTCTGATTTCAGCATTTTAGGAAGGGAGATTCCTGAGAGTTATTCTTGGTCTCTTCATCCTTTGCCCATTGTCTTATTTCTTATCAGCATCCTATTTAGAAATCTATGGTCATGTGAATTCTGCCTTGATGTTTACTCCACAATTTAGTTTTTTTCTCTCCAAGAAGAATTTGGAAACGGTGGTATTGGTGTAGAATTAATGGATTCAGCTTAAAGTGTTGGCTGGAAAAAAATTGCTAGATTTTACATCATAAATGGCCTCTCTTTATTGTTGTTCTCTTTGCATGTCTTATCTCAGTAAGACCTTTTTTTGCCTTATTTTCCCACCAGGAAAACAGCTATCATCTTATGCCAAGATGTCAGGAATTGGAAATAAAAGAGCAGCAGGAGAGCCGGGCACATCTATGCCTCCTGAGAAGAAGACAGCTGTTGAAGATTCAGGGACTACAGTGGAAACAATTAAGCTAGGGGGTGTCTCTTCAATGGTATGAGGAAACAATGACATGAAAGTGTGCTTTTCTTCTGTCAGTTGCAACCTGAAACTAAAAATTTATCGAAGCCTTCTGGAATGAGGGGAAGCCATTTGAAAAGAAGAGGGAAATAAAACAGGCCAAAAGTAGGTGAAATGATGTGGTCAGTTCTGGAGGAGAGGTAGATTGATATTTGATCTATGTTTTCAAGGTGTGCTTATATTCTTTTGGAGACTAGTGCCTGATGCAGCATTAACCACTTCAGTATAAGCCTCGACTATAGTCGATAGCCACAGATGAACGCGCACAGCTGAGCATCGACTTTAGTTGACAGCTGTGATATGAAGGCGCACAGCCGAGCATTGACTTTAGCTGACAGCTGTGATATGACTTTTCTAATTTTTCATTTATCAAAAAAAATTGTGAACATTTAAAAATAACGTAATAAAAACATATATGTCTATGTTACCTATTCTGATTTACAAGTAAAGCTGCCTGTAAAGTAAAACAAGCTTTTAGTGCTTTAAAGCTTTCCTCATCACACAAGAGCAAAACGGATTCATTGTCAATGCACAGCATAAACTATTGTGCGGACTATGAGTGCCGGCTGTGGGCAAGGTTTTGCGCCGGTGAGCGTACTGAAGTGGTTAACTGTGGTTAACGTATTTAGTAGTGGGAAGATGGACATTCATTTTTTCATTGACTGAAAAATTCCAGTGTCAGATTCTAAGAGGCAGGCAGTGTAGCAAAATCTTTGAGAGTGTGTGGTGAAGGGTGAGAGTATGAGGCCAGACTGCGTTGGATTTACTTTCAGCTGTACCACTTCCCAACTGCAGGACCTTGTGTCTTCCTGTGTCTCTTTTTTCTTATCTGTAAAATATAATTAAAGTACCCTCCACATTAGGTTTTGTGAGGATGGCGTGAAACTCCCTGTCAAGGGCTAAAACTTTGCCTTTAACATAGTAGTTATTCATAGGAGTTTGAAACCAGCTTGAGCAAGAGCGAGACCCCGTCTCTACTAAAAATAGAGACAAATTAATTGGCCCACTAAAAATATATAGAAAAAATTAGCCGGGCATGGTGGCACATGCCTGTAGTCCCAGCTACCCGGGAGGCTGAGGCAGGAGGATTGCTTGAGTCCAGGAGTTTGAGGTTGCTGTGAGCTAGGCTGACACCACAGCACTCTAGTCTGGGCAACAGAGTGAGACTCTGTCTCAAAAAAAATCAACCAAACAAACAAAAAAAATTAGTAATTATTCAATAAATATGAGCTATTAATAGTTATTAGGCTAGGTACTATAATGGTGAATAAAATAGATATTATCCTCCTCTTATGGAGCTTACAATCTCATTAGGGTATTATACACAAAAAGCTCCTAATAATGTTATATATCCATTAGGCATCAAAAGCTTACAGATTTTGATCTGGATTAAGATTCTGCTTCTTGGAACTCTGCTTTGGGGAATATGATGTTAAAATACTTTACATTTTAATAGCTTACAAAACCACATCTATAAGCTGGGCACGGTGGCTCACGCCTGTAATCCTAGCTCTCTGGGAGGCTGAGGCAGGCGGATTGCTCGAGGTCAGGAGTTTGAAACCAGCCTGAGCAAGAGTGAGACCCCGTCTCTATTATAAATACAAAGAAATTAATTGGCCAACTAATATATATAGAAAAAATTAGCCGGGCATGGTGGCGCATGCCTGTAGTCCCAGCTACTTGGGGAGGCTGAGGCAGGGAAGATCGCTTGAGCCCAGGAGTTTGAGGTTGCTGTGAGCTAGGCTGACGCCATGGCACTCATTCTAGCCTGGGCAACAAAGCGAGACTCTGTCTCAGAAAAAAACACATCTATTACTTATTTGATTTTGAGGCTAAGGTTTAGCGAGGTTGATTTTTTTTCAGAGTTGGAATAATAGGAAAATTCATGATAGGTTGTGGCTGAAGTGTCATTTCTGAGGTTGTCTGGGGTTCTAGTACTCTATAATGCTGCCAGGAGGTGATTTTGACTTAGCACTGCCTCCAGTCATGCACTCCAAAGGCATTTATTATTCACTTAGTAAATACAAATGTTTGTTGAACATATGCTATTTGCTGGCCACTGTGCTTTATACTGAGGAAAGCCCCTACACTTCAGTTTGTAGTGTGGCCCTGACAAAGGAATAGACTGTTATAGTAGAGTGGGGTATGTGTTGTTCACAGTGGTAAGCACATACTCTATGGGAAGCACGTAGTACTCATCTCAGTTTGGACTTCATCCAGAAGATCAATGAGGAGCCATTGGACTGACTTAAATAGGGGAGTAACACGGTCTGATTTATGTTTGAAGAATAGGCCATAGAGGAGCAAGGGTTATAAGCAGGAGTCCAGTTAGCAGAATTGTTCCCTAATTCTTTGTCACCCAGTTTCCTTCTTCAACCTGACCTCTCCAAAGGTAGGGATCTGAGACATGTATCCATTGATCCCTGCCCCGGTTGTTTGAAAGTTGCCTTTCAAGGCAATAACTCCTGTGCATTTCAAGGTTGCTGTAATGAGTCAGTTGAGATTGTGGGACAGAAAGATTAAGAGACTCATAAAGTATGTTTGAAGTTGGATCACTGGTGGTGTGAATGGAGCTGTCCACCACAACTGTGCTGAAATCTGGAAGACTGACAAGATGTGGCACAAAAGTGTTTGCTACCGGAGGTTTTTGTAGTAATCCTAATGAGGGATCATGGTGGCTTGGGCCACCATGGAGGTAGCATTGGCAAGATTTGCTGATGGACTGAATCAAATGTACGAGAGATAGCAGGGAGGATCACCCTGGGATTTGGAGTTTTTACCTACTGAGCTAGGGAAGTATGGTATATGAGAGGAGCAGATTTTTGGGAGTCATGGAGCGTTGATCATGTGTTTGATTTGGTTTTGAACATGTAAGTTTGAGATATTAATAATGAGATATCAGTGCTAAAGCTGTCCATATGGGAATCATCATTTCATAAGTGGTATTTAAATCCATGAGACTAGAGACTCTTAATGAATAAGCATAGACAAAGAAGAGATCTGAGGACAGAGACTTGGTACACTGTAACATTTTCATGTTGTGATGAGAAGAGCCTAATCAAAGATACAATAAAAGAGGGACCAATCAGGTAGGAGGACAGCAAGAAAGAGTAGGGTCCCAGAAGCCAAATGAAGAAAATGTTTCAAGGAGTTTATCAGGGGCTGCCAACAGGTTGAGTAAAGGGAGGATGAGATGTTATACTTAGCAACAGAGAATTCATTGGAGACTCCAGAAGACCTATGTAATGCAGATGGAAGCCTAATTGCAGTGAGCTTAAGAGAATATGAGAGGAAAGAAATTAGGGAAAAGAGGGTAGAAACAATGTCTTAGAGGAGTACTGTAAAACAGCACAAAGAAAATGGGGCAATAGCCAGGGGGAAATGTAGGGTTAAGGGAAGGTTTTTGTTTATTTGTTTTTTAAGGTAGGAGATAAGCAGCATGTTTATCTGTTAATTGAACTGATTTGGTAGAGGATAAAATTGATGATATAGCAAAGAGGAGATAGTTACTGTGATGTCCTTGAATAGATGAGAGGGACTGTAATGTAAATCACAAGTTGTGGAATTGACCTTAACTAGGAGGGGGGACAGTTTATCTATAACAATAAGAAGACAGGCAGGGGATATGGGTTCTGATGTAGGTAGGTCAGTAGCTGTGGTTGTGGGAGGTAGGTGTGGGCGTTCTCTTATGATTGCTTGTGTTTTTTTTCCCGGTGAAATCAGAAGCAAGACTCATCTGAAAGTGAGGATGGGTAAGGAAGTTTTGGAGGTTTGAAGAGATAGGAGAAGGTATGAAGTAGTCATCTAGAAGAGAGAATGGGCCAGAGAGATGTAGGGTTGCTAGGCAGTACTTAGGGCCTACTTGAATTTGTGATCATGAGTTTAAAGTGAAACCAATTAGCATGCTATGCTGCTTTATGTTTTCTAGTTGCATTTAGCTGCATGGGCCCAGGCTTGGAGCAGGTGGAGAGTTGGATGTTACCAGGATTGGGATTTTTACCAGATAATTATAATGAAGGAAGGAGAAGAAAGCATGTAAAAGGAAGTGATTTTAATGACTGATCATGGCATTTAAGTTTGGTAAAGACAGAAGTGGGGAAGTGAGAGGAGTGAAGGACAGGGAAAGGTGTAGGACCAATGGTTTGTAGATTCTGATTTGTAGGTTGAAAAATTGTTGAAGAGAGTGAGCTGGAAAAGTGGTAGTTGTGGAGAATTAGTTATTTGAAATTGAGCTTATAGAGGACATGTAGGTGTATGTAAGACTAATTATAGGAGTTGGTGACTCAGTGAGGTAGAGGACAAGATCATCAGTGGAGAGGAGGTCAATGCCTTGATGATCCAAGATACAGGAAAGATCATCTATATGGAAATTGATATCATTAAGAATTATGATAGGAGTAGTACTGGAGAGAGTGGTAATAAGATAGGTGCTAAATCTCTGAGAAGTGTGGGGAAAAGACGTGGGCAATTATAGATGAGTTCCTCAAAGCAAGGTGACAGGTGGTATAGACTAAATACATTAGCTTCAAAGCTAGGAGGTTTTAGAGAGGAAGGGGGGATAATGGGCTGGAAGTGCAGTGGAAAATAAGGAGGACACTCATCTATCAAGGGCTTCAAGGGGTGTGGGAGGGAAGTAGCCATGACTGGAGAAGCCTGCAGGGAAACAGTATTCTCATGCAGTTTTCAGTTAAAGCAAGAAGGGGAAGGCAGTGTTCAGAGAATATTTTGAGGATAATTAATAGTATTAATAAACTGGTACAGTGGGGAAACTATTGACTACCCTGGCATTATCAGGAATGTTTTACCCAAAATGAAAGACAGAAAATAAAAGTGAAACATGCAATTGGTGGTCTTATATATAGTTTTTACTTAAAAATATTCATTTCATTAATTTCATTAATTCCGGGTAAAGTAAGAACATAAGCCTTTCTACATGCTGCTCGTTGTCTGTGATATTCCCCCCCGCTACCTGGCTCCTCCCCAGGTTGTCCTGGGGAATGAGCTATTGATAAGAGTGAAATTACTGATGCAGTGAGGGGTTTGTAGAAACAGAAGAGGACAGGATCCTGAGCACAAGTTGAGGTTTTAAGAATGTGTGCATAGGTTGATGAGTTGTATGAATGGGTCAAAGAGATAGAGAATTAAGGAGCTTCCTGTCTGATGATTTCATTTTCTCATTGAAATAAGAAGCAAAGCCATCTGTTTAGTGTGATGTAAAAGGGGCCAGGGCTTGGTGGAATTTGATATTGTGTTGATGGAGAGTGGGAGATAGCTCACTTGTTAAAGAAATATTTTTGGACAAATTATAAGATCTGTTCAGGTTAGGAATTCATTTTGTAAAGGCATCATTTTTTCTGGTTTAATGAACTTAATCTAGAAGTCTCAGCGTACTGGGTATACAAATGGAATAGTTAGATAATCTGAATTAATTCAGATTGGAGTTTGTTAACAGGAGTTGAAGGAAAGGATTAAGGCAGAGAAATGAGGAGGCTGATAGGAAGATGTTTGAAGTAATGTATCATGAGTGTATAGTCAAGATACGGAAGATAGTATAGACAGAAGGGGACTGCAAAGGACAAAGGAGAGAATTCAAAATTCTGGAGATCAAAATAGGTGAAGGGACTGGTAAATTGGGGTAAAGGCATGAGATACCTGGAAAAATGCTGTTTTATTCAGGGAGTGGGAAGTTGAAATTTAAGATTTCATGTGTAGCACAGTTTCAGATAATGGCAGGAATCTAAGATGTGGTTTTTGAAATGCACGAATGAAGCACAATGGGGGAGATAATCATTGGAGTTAAGGAATTCAGAATATCGACGGCCTAGATGCTTGAGGATTAGATGGTTTGTGTATAAGTATATTGAAGTGACTGGATGTTCTGGCAGGAACTGGGATAGACAGAGAAGGACCCAGGTGCCCAAGTCTTGAATGAATAAAGTGCCTAGAAGATAGGTGACAGTATTGATTGGAGTAGCGGGGTGGAGCCTCAAAGTAGCATTACTTTGTGGATGTGCGTGTGAGTAGAGCAACGAGATGAGTTTGGTTGAGGTTCTAGTGTATTTGTTTGTGTTATTCTTTCCTCATATCATCATGCACCCCTTCCTTTATCACTTCTGCTTCTACTTCTTATTTAATTATTTCTTGTAAGTTTTTTTTTTTTTTTAGATGAATAGCTTTATTCATTGGAAATAACTCACAAAGTGATGTAACTTTGTTGAGTTTAACAATTCATTTGTCTAATTTCTTGGTGGAGACTAATAAGATTGGTTTCCTGGGGCAGGAGGAGTTAGACATTCGAACGCTGCAAACCAAAAATCGCAAACTGGCAGAAATGCTGGATCAACGGCAGGCCATTGAAGATGAACTCCGTGAGCACATTGAAAAACTGGAACGACGACAGGCCACTGATGATGCCTCACTATTGATTGTCAACCGGTACTGGAGTCAGGTAGCTAACTTATTTATTTGCTTGGATTTTTATTTAAGCATTTTAGTTCTCCTTACTACTGTCTTCATTTCCAAAGTTGTACCCTTTTGTTTTTTCATAATTGCACCTACCCTTCTCCAGTTTGATGAAAACATCCGTATCATCCTTAAACGTTATGATCTGGAGCAGGGTTTGGGAGACCTACTAACAGAAAGAAAAGCCCTGGTTGTGCCTGAACCAGAACCAGACTCTGATAGCAATCAGGAACGCAAAGATGACCGAGAGAGAGGTGAGTGAGTGTGAGGCGTTCTATTACTTCATGCTATCTGGGTTTTTGAAGTAGAGCTTTGCTTTGAGGCTCTCCATTTGGGGAAAAAAATGAATTTTTGTTATTTCCAGTTTTATAATTTTGGGGGCTTTTTTTTCCCCCTGTGTTCTCAGGGGAAGGGCAAGAGCCAGCTTTCTCTTTCCTTGCTACTTTGGCCAGCAGTTCTAGTGAAGAGATGGAATCTCAGCTGCAGGAGCGTGTGGAGTCCTCCCGCCGAGCCGTATCCCAGATTGTGACTGTCTATGATAAATTGCAAGAAAAAGTGGAGCTCCTATCCCGGAAGTTAAATAGTGGAGGTAAGGCAAGAACCTGGAGGCTGGTAGTAGTGGGGGAGGAATAAGAACTCACCTTTGCATGCTGATTTATAGTTTGGAAACTTACATATTTATTTTTAGTTAAATTCCTTGGAATCCTAATCTTCAACATTACTGGCAATGTCATTACTATAGTATGTTAGTAATTTATTAATGCCTCACATTTCAAGCCACATGACACTCCTTTAAGAAGCTAAGGAAAGATTTTATCAGCTCCATTCTGATACACTCTATTAATTAGGCACTTTTGTAAACAGCAGAGTTAATTTTATGATTTAAGACATAGCTCTGATTTCTGGATATTTATATGGTATACATAGGCTATTGATTTATTAATGATAAATACTTTATTTTAAGTAAGCCATTATGTTATTTAAAAATGTTTTATTAGATACTGAATTTTGACTTCAGAAAATCAATTTTTAATTATGTTGTTTTTCATTTTCTGTTATTGCTAATGTTTTAAAAAAGTTGATTTAGGTTTTAGAGTTGTCAGATGATCTCTATGTTTAACAGGATAAAATAGAAAATATTCTATGTATGGAAAAATGTCTATTTGAAACAAAATTATTTGATTTCCCAGATTATCATTAAGATGTTTAATAATTCATTTGTGAAAGATAGAAGTTGAATGTATTAGAGGCTGAACCATTAGGTGGACAAGCAAGAATTGTATTCTGTAATTTTGTTTTTAAGGGGAAGTGGGCTGAACTATCAATAAAATTAAACAGCAGGCATGTAGAATGCTTGTGAAAATTTAGTGGGCAAGAGTTTCTTTTGCTTTTCCATTACTGTGTGTGTGTGTATTTCTGTGTTTTATTATTAGGAAAACAGACATTTGTTTTAAAATATACAAATCAGAAATTCGTAAAAGTAGACTACTACCCCCATCTCACTTCTCAAAGATAGGCATTATAAACAATGTGTTTGATGTCCTCCGCGACTTTTGTATTCATATATTACATTCACTTGAGTGTTCTCAGCTAAACTAATGCCTCTTGGTGCAATGCCTTGGCTTACTCTTTGTTTCTTCAGTTTCTGGCCTTGCATCTGGTATCTAATATATGCTTAGTCAATGGAAAAATGAATGAACAAGCTGTGTTTTATATATACACGTATATACTTCTTTCTCTTTTGGCTCTAGTTGAATTGTGAGAGATATTGTTACAATATCAATTGCCATTGATAAGCTGAGCTTTCTAAGAGATATAGATAATATATCTATATTATCTATATCTGTGAAGTATGTGAAGTATGAATTGTAGCATGAACTGTAACTTGTTTGGAATTTCATTTTTTCCCCCATGTTTGGTCCTTGATTCAAAAGAATTACATTTATAGGCTTGTTTAGTAATTTACTAACTATTTATTGAGTGTTTATTATATTCTAGGTACTGTCCTCAGTGCTTAGGATATTGAGGAGTAGTAAAATTCAGACCCTAGTTTTTAACTCAGGTTATGAATCAGAATCACCTTAGGAATTTTCTGAGCATATTGTTTTTAGCTCTGCTCATGGAGATTTTTATGCAGTAGGTATGGGATAAGTCTACTTTAAAAATTTCACTAGTGATTCTAATGGACAGTCCTAGATTGAAAATCATAAAAGCTATTGCATGACCAACCTATTCCGTATTGTTTTTAAGATTGATACCAAGAGGTGTCATGAAAGAGCACAAGTTTCTTCCTGATAACTCTCTCTAAAGGGTGATATATATCCTGAGAGTATATGATTTCACTTAATAACATTTGGATTTGGACTCTATTTGGACTCTATTTATGACTCTAATTTTAAACATATTTACTTGGTTTAATAAGTTCTTTAGACTTACCTACCTGTTTTTTAAATAGTGTACATTTTGGTCTTTGAGCTTCAGGAGTGCTCCTAGCATAGTGTTTTAGAATATGATAAGTGAATCTATACTCTTTATTGTTCATGATTTTATAGATGCTTATTTAAGGGTGGAAATTCTGTTCCCTGCGCCCCTTCTCTCTCCCAACAGAGAGGTATTTCGTGTTGGTGTTAGTAGTAGGAATTTGTGACAGCCTTGTGAAATAGAATTATATTGCTATTAGGTCTGACACTGATTAGAGATACCTCTGTCTTCAATTCTGAAATGTAATTTGTGGGGGGTTTGTGTCTTATATGAGTAAAGTTATAGAACCTCGATTTCTTTTCTTGTGGCATTTTGGCCTTATAGAAAGGGATGGGAGTTAGGTGTCGTAGGCTGCAAGTTGACTCATTTCCTTAAGCAAGTCGTCTAATCTCTGGGTACTTTATCTGTCATATGAGGTGATTAAAACCAGCCTACTACTACTACTTTTTTTTTTTTAATACAAGTATCCTGTATATAAAAAACCAGCCTATTCTTGAAGTTCTGAGGAAAAGGAAGTGAGATAGTATGTTAATGCTTTGGTGGAATACACGGTTTTAAAATTTAATACTATAGATACTAAATTAAAGTACAGTTCTTCTTTCCCAGATAATCTGATAGTGGATGAAGCAGTGCAAGAGCTGAATTCCTTTCTTGCGCAAGAGAATATGCGGCTACAGGAGTTGACAGACCTCCTTCAGGAGAAGCATCGCACCATGTCTCAGGAGGTACTTGCCCAGAAAGGAGAGGTGGCTGTTTCTAGTGGCCTCTGGCAGACATTGACTCAGAATTCTGAGTGCTTTAAAGGTTCCATTGTTCTAGAAGGCCTATTTTTATATTGAAGGGCATGCAGACCAGGCTAAAGCAGCCAGCCCTGAGAAATCAAAATCTGAGGAAAGGTTAAGGGAAGAAGAGAATAATTCATTATTTCTCCTTGACTACCATTCTGTTTAAATAGACATTTTAGAATCTTAGTATTTAGGGAAAAAATGCCATCATACGGAATTTTGCAAAATACAATAAAACTCCAAACCTCCAAATAATGAGTTACCCAAGGATAAAAGACCATGTATTAATACAATGTTACTGAGGAATGGCTTGGTAAAAATTCAGTACAGAGTGACTAACTAGAAACTACTGCAATGATGATGTCTTGGAAACCTGAAGAATGTGAATTTTCAGTGTAAACTTGGGCACAAATATTGCCATGATCAAACCATGCCAAAATTTGGGTATTTATTTATTTATATAAAATAATCAAGGTAAAGTGATGATAGGCCTTAATAAGACTCTTCTAATACTCCTGATTATCATTTTGGTTTATTTCAAAGGCTATTATACCGAACTTTGACCTCCTATAATTTGGCCATTGACTTTTCATGCTAATTACTAATTTAATAGTTACCATTTACTTAGTGCCTTGCATTTAAGCACTTTAGGAATATTATCTCTGTTGGTAAAATAATCCCACTTAACTGCGAAGGAAACAAATTCAAAGAGGTTGGTGACTGGTCTGAGGACTTGTGGCTAGAAAGTGATTGAGCTATGTGTGTGTGTTTCTCTGTGTGTGTGTTTTTTAAGAACCACAAAGAGAGTAATGGACTGTGTTTTGAATGTAGGTCTATTTAATGTCAAAGCCCATGTTCCTCATATGCTCTTGTTTCCTAAACTCTACTGTTCAGGTTCATGCTGGGCTGGTTGCATGAGAATCATCTGGGGAGTTTATTAAGTCATGTGGATTCTCATGGAACTTCAAAGGACTTAGAATATAGCAGTACTTATGAATAAATTGGAATGCAGTAGGAGGAATAACATTCTGCCATGTTGTAAAATATAAACTGGGTGCTACCAAGATGGAAAGGTCTTTCTTTTCTAGCCCTTTCCCAAATCTCAGATAGCATTGCTAACTTGGAGGCACATTGTTTTGCTCACCTGGGTTGATGTCCAAGGTGACTGTTATGATTGACTGTTGGTGCTGCTTGTCTGCTGGGAGCTCACCTTAGTTGTCCACTGGAATGCCTGCAGGTTGCCTCTCCAGCGTGGCAGTCTCAGGGAATTGGGCTTTTTACATGGTGGCTGACTTGTTCCATTGAGAATCCCAAGAACACTAGGTAGAACTTGTATGGCCTTTTTGACATAGCTTTGAAGTTATATAGTGCTATTTCCACTGGGTCACTAAAGTTGACCCAGTTTCAAGAAGAATGTACAAAGTCTCCACCTCTTAATGTGAGTACTATCAAAGAATTTTGGGGCCATATTTTACAACCAACACAAAAGGCACATATAGGTTAATGTGAACATGTAACTGTTTTGTAATTAAAACACGCAATAGTGTTAGCTAGTGTATAGCTCCTAAATAAACAGAGAACAGCAAATGTTTTTGTCTTTATATTATAGTATCCAATTCTAGATTGCTCTGGGGTTGGCTTAAAAAAGAAAATGGACGTTTTCCTTTTGTTGTACTGTGTTTCCCCGAAAATAAGACCTACCCATAAAATAAGCCCCAGCAGGATTTCTAAGCATTTGCACAATATAAGCCCTACCCCAAAAATAAGACCTAATGATGAGCGTGGCTACGCAGCGTATCTGCACAACCTATGCATTTCATTGTGGAGCAGTAAAGAAGATGAGCAGCCCTTCTCATCTGCCCCATGAGAGCTCTATTGCTTGACATGAGAGATTGGGGCCAATGGTTGTAAAGGAAATAGAGTCGCAAGAAATTCAGGATGGAATTCGGGGTTTGGAGAGTTATGATGATGTTCCAGAAGAAGATGATTTAACTATATTTGAATAAATGTAGATTGTTGTACCGTACTTAAAAAAAAAAAAAACACATCCCCTGAAAATAAGCCCTAGGGTGTATTCTTGAGGAAAAATAAATATATGACCCTGTCTTATTTTTGGGGAAACACAGTATCGCAATTATCATTTATGGGAATGTGGGGAGAGAAACTTGGAGTGTAAAGATAACTGTCTTTTTTGAATTTTTATGTTCTAAAATATTTGTCTGATAAAATGAAAGATACTATCTTTTCTCTTAAAAAATACACATTTTTGATGGATTTGTGGTCTGTCTAGGAAATGGTGCTTTTCAGAGGTAAGCAAATTATTGCCTACTAAGTGGTCTTTTCCTTGTGTGAAGACTTCTTATAGACTTCAGACTTACAGTTTTCATGATTGTAACTGCCCCAGAACTAAGTCATTCATTTTCTAACTTGGTCTTTTTTTGCTGTATTTTTCTGAATGCCTGTTTTTGGGGTGTAGTTCTCCAAGTTGCAGAGTAAAGTGGAGACAGCTGAGTCACGAGTATCTGTCTTGGAGTCCATGATTGATGACCTGCAGTGGGATATTGACAAAATTCGAAAGAGGGAACAGCGACTTAACCGACACTTAGCAGAAGTCCTAGAACGGGTCAGTGCTCTTTTATAGTTCGGAGACTAGAATCATTTTAAGGAGTCTTCTCAGAAAGAAGTAACTTGGGGAGAGGTGGTTGGGGAAAAAAACTGATCCTTTGAAAGTATGTTGATGATAAAGTCTTAGGGTCTCTCCCTGAAAAATCTTTGTCTTCTCTGTAGGTGAATTCGAAAGGTTATAAGGTGTATGGAGCAGGGAGCAGTCTCTATGGCGGCACAATCACTATCAATGCCCGGAAGGTAAAATCCAGTGACTCAGAACATGTTTTTTGACTTGGTGTCAGGCCTTGTGCCTAGGTACTTAGGATTGTGTTCACACTTGGCAAAGAGGGGTTTTGCTGTAAGAGTGAATCAGTAAAGATAGGAAGCTTAGAGATGGGGATGATTTAACAACTCTTTTTCTTAGCTTTCATTTTGCTATTTTCCTGCTTCCTTCCAGTTTGAGGAAATGAATGCAGAGCTTGAGGAGAACAAAGAGTTGGCTCAGAATCGTCTCTGTGAGCTGGAGAAACTTCGGCAGGACTTTGAGGAAGTCAGTACACAAAATGAAAAGCTGAAGGTAAGAGACACATCTCTGAAGGGCAGTAAAATCAGACTTTTTGCTGATCAACTCACATGCAGATTTGGTGTAGACAAAATGTACCTCAGCATAATTAAGGCCATATATGACAAGCTCACTGCTAACATTTATCTGGTGCTGAAAAGTTGAAAGCTTTTCCTCTAAGATCAGGAAAAAGACATGGATATCCACTTTCACTGCTTTAATTCAACATAATATAATGGAAGTCCCAGCCACCCAATTAGGCAAGGATAAGAAATAAAAGGCCTCTAAACTGGAATGAAAGAAGTAATGTTACCTCTGTTTGCAGATGACATGATCTTATATATAGAAAACCTCAAAAACTCCACCAAAAAATTGTTATAACTACAAACAAATTCAGTAAAGTTGTAGGATACAAAATCAACATACAAAAATCAGTTGTATTTCTATACAGTACAATAAACTACACAGAAAAAGGAATTAGGAAAACTACCATTTACAATAGCATGAAAAAAATAAAATACTTAGGAATAAATTTAACCAAGGAGGTGAAAGATCTATATAGTGAATGGATAAAAAAAAAAGTGTGTGTGTGCGTGCGTATGTATGTATATATTTGTATATGAATGGAATACTATTCAGCCTTAAAAAAGTAGGAAATCCTGTCATTTGCAACAACGTGCATGTACCTGGAGGACAAGCTAAGTAAAATAAGCCAAGCACAGAAAGACTACACGATGTCACTTACATCTGCAATCAAAAAAAGTCAAACTCACAGATGCAGAGAGTAGAATAAATAGTAGTTACCAGGGAAGAGGGAAATGGGGAGATGTTAGTCAAAGAGCACCAAGTTTCAGTTATGCAGAGTGAAGAAATTTTGGAGATCTAATGTATAGTGACTGTAGTGAATAAAAATATATTGTGTACTTGAAATATGCTAAGGGAGTAGATCTTAAATGTTCTTGACACACAAAAAAAGGTAACTGAGGTAGTAGAAAAATTGGATTAGCTGGGTTGTGGTAATCATTTTACAGTATATGTGTATGTCAAAACATCATGTTGTGTACCTTAAATATGTATAATTTTTAATTCTTTGATTATACCTTAATAAAGCTGGGAGGGGGAGAAAAATGTAAGTTTTGTTGATATATCTACTTATTTATTTAAATATTTACTTACTGTCTGTACCCTGCATTGTTCTAGAAAGGATTAAACCAACCTCAAATAGTAAATCATGGTGCTCTGACTTAGGAGTTGTTGAGAAAATTGAGGAGTGGGATAAAATTGAGTGCGGATTAAAAAGTGGGGCTTGTATACAAGATGATGCAAGGGGCATCCATATGCTGTGGCAAGGCGGACCACTCACGTGTCAGTAATTGCCAAAGGGGTCCACAGATTTGGCTCTGCAGTTTCTTGCTGCCAAAACAGAGAAACAGTAATGTGATCCTGTTGTTTTCAAACCTGTCCAGAAGAATTTTCTCCTCACATCCTTAGGGGAAGCAAGGGGATTCTGGAAGTCTTGCTCACCCCTCTTTCAGTCATAGCCATCTGTATTTTTATAATTTGATTTGTTACTAGGTAAATAGATAAGAATTAAGATGTTTGAACAGAAAAATTAAAAACAAAAAAACCCCTAAGTTAGATCAGTTAAAGTGTTTGAGTGATTAAAGCAAACAGTTGCTTAGGAGAAGCATAATTAATTTTGATACCCTGCCAAAAAATTTTTTCTCTGTGATTGTTAATGAAGAGAACAAGTTAGTTACTAGGCTTCTCAACTATTTTTTTAAAATTAGCATCTGACAGATTTCATAAGACTTGTCTAGTGGCTCAGGTGACATGTAATGTAAAACACATCAAAACAATTCTGAGGAAGAAGAATACAGCATATCCAGGTGCCACCTCTTAGGTGGGCTAATTTAATTTGGGGTAGATTTTATATAACTAGAGGAATGAGTAGATAGACTTCATAATCTTTATAAAAATAATTTGAATTGTGTAGGACATCAATGAGTTCAAAATTTTATTTCCTGTCTAGCATCTGAGGCACAGATACTAAATTTTGCTTCTGACTTTCTTATCTGTGGGCCATCCTAAGGTGGAATTGCGGAGTGCAGTGGAAGAAGTGGTTAAGGAAACTCCAGAATATCGCTGCATGCAATCACAGTTCTCTGTCCTATACAATGAGAGCCTACAGTTGAAAGCACACTTGGATGAGGCTCGCACCCTGCTTCATGGCACCAGGGGAACCCATCAGCGCCAGGTTGAGCTCATCGAGGTAACAGACTTGTCTTCTGTACATGAGCTTTTCTGCTTCAAATTTTACAATTCTATTCTCTCAAGTGCAGTTAATCTCATTCATTCAGCAGACATTTATAGAGTGGTTGTGGGTCTTTGTTAGATGGTGGGTGTACACAGATGAGACAATAGAATTCCTCCTCTTATGGATCTTCTACTCCATAGTAGTGGGAGAATAGTATCCATTAGAATGCAGTGTAGTATAGTAGCAGCATATTGAAAAGGTGCGGTGATAGAGGAGACAGACCATCTAATTTATGGAACCTTCCTGATTCCACATAAGAAAGTGAAATATGAATCTTAAGGGTAAATACAAGTTTACTGGTTGTTAGAAGTAGGAGAAGGGTGTTTCCAGCAGTGAGAACAGCAAGTGTAAAAATGTAAGAGAGCATGACAAGTAGTTTATCATGGCTGGAGCTTGTGTATATAAGGGAAAATAGTGGGTAGAGGTAGCATCACTACTTCCATGACATTGTAGCATATAATGGTACCTGTAGATATTTTTTTTTTAAAGAAAGAAACTATTATTCATATATTTGCTTCTGTATCTTCCACAGTCCTTAATGTAATGTTTATAGTAGGTGATCTTTTAATATATGCCTGACCAGTGAATTGAATACTACTTTATATATATTTATATGCTCTTTTATGGTTTAGTTCTCCAACTAAATTGCAATGTTTTCAGAGTTGGGACCATTTCCTTTATTTCTTGTCAGTTTCCAAATCAGTATATTGTAGGTATCTAGTGTTAAGTATTGATTGAACTGGAAATTTTCAGAGTAATACATTCTTTTCTTGGCATTTTCTTTTTCTATTTTTAGATCCTTATAAATAAAATTTAAGAGAAAGAATAATAAAATATCACATTTCCACATTTTTATAAGAGGTTTTGATTGATTCCTTTTTCTATGTAGCGAGATGAGGTTAGTCTTCATAAGAAGCTGAGGACTGAAGTGATCCAGCTAGAAGATACGCTGGCCCAGGTCCGCAAGGAGTATGAGATGCTGAGGATAGAATTTGAGCAGACCCTTGCTGCCAATGAACAAGCAGGTATAATTATTCTCATTTCACACTGCAGTTTTATTCCTTCCTTGAAAGACACAACACGTGTTTCCTGGTTCTTATCTCAGTGTCGAAGAATGATTACTGAGAATAAATGCGCATGGAATAAATGAGCAGGCCAAACAGATGTAAACAAGCCACACAGCAAGATTTATTAAGCATAGTGTGTTCCATAGAGGGCATGGGTCTATCTCCACCAGTGGAGGCAACCCTGAGTTTTTAGTATACACATGATTTTAGAAAGGAGGCTGCCCTTCTTTTCTTCTAAGTGGAGTTTTCACTTCCTGCCCTTGGGTGATTCACAGGTTCTCTTATATAACTTTTAATCAGTGTGCATGCATCCTCCCATAATCCTTTAAGAAAGCCCATGGGGGGGATCAAAGCTGCTATGCTGATTAGATGGTAATGAGCCCCAAGTCAGTTGAGGACACATGAAACCCCTTAGTGTGTATGCTCTCATTTACCCTGTTTGTTGCCTTGACTGTATCACCAGTTTGTGGTTTCTCTATCTTTCTCTGGTTGGTCAGTTCTTATATCTTCCTATCATAGACAAAACATGTCTTCCTCTCCCTTCCTCTGTATTCCTACCTAACATTCCCAAGGATTTGTTAATGCTAACTTGAACTCAATAGTCCTAGGTGCCTTAAATCCTGTAATTCAAATTCTATAATCCATTTTGGTTCACATCCTGGATGTTTGTTTTTTAACTCCAGTTGAGCAGTTTTGTTTTCATTTTTTGAGAAAGACTGTTTCTTTTGGTAGTTCTCCCTGTTTCTCAGTGGTTCCTGATGTGTTTCTTTGTGCCTTTGTCCTGTCACAGTTCCTTATAATATTGCTATTGCTGTGTTTAAGGCCCTATCAACCGGGAGATGCGCCACCTCATCAGTAGCCTCCAGAATCACAATCACCAGCTGAAAGGGGAAGTCCTTAGGTATAAGCGGAAACTGAGAGAAGCCCAGTCTGACCTGAACAAGGTAACCTGGAGGAGTAGACTAAGTATTATTTGCTCTTAAGGTTATAAAGCTGCTTTTGAATGAGGTAAACAATGTGGTTACCATACGTGATGTGCGTTTTTCTTTTCTTTTTCTTTATTTTTCCAGACACGTCTGCGTAGTGGCAGTGCCCTCCTGCAGTCTCAGTCTAGTACTGAGGATGCTAAGGACGAGCCTACAGAACTAAAACAAGATTCTGAGGACTTATCCACCCAGTCCTCAGCATCGAAGGCAGCTCAGGAGGATGCTAATGAAATTAAGTCCAAACGGGATGAAGAAGAGCGAGAAAGAGAAAGGAGAGAGAAAGAGAGGGAGCGAGAAAGAGAACGGGAGAAGGAAAAGGAGAGAGAACGAGAGAAGCAGAAACTAAAAGAGTCGGAAAAAGAGAGAGATTCTGCTAAGGACAAAGAGAAAGGCAAACATGATGATGGAAGGAAAAAGGAAGCAGAAATTATCAAACAATTAAAGATTGAACTCAAGTAAGTGCAATATTTAGAGTGTTTCTGATTCAGAAGCTAAGGTTAGGACATTATGCATGAAATGTTTGGTTGATGGCATTTCTTGTCTGATTATTGTAATATTTTAAATTGCACAATTAATGTGGTCTCAGCTCTTGGTCAAGTGTATAGCTAGGATGGCCTGCATGACCATTGTGTAGTTTGGTTCGGTGGTTAGGTATCAGTAAATCTGGTCATTGTAGCCTTATTTTTCATGAATCCAAATTAAAGGAAGAGATGTCATGATTAGAGTAATACTCCTGAGAATTACTGGAAATTAACTACTGGTCTTTCTTGGATTTGAGCAGATTGCTGACATTAATTATAACTACTGTTATACTAAGTGGAGTACGTATGTATCACTGTAACCTGAACAGTATCTGATCTATTTGCTTGATAGTTAACTAGTTAGTGCCAGATCTTTTTAAGAGATTTCTTAGATTTACTCCTACAGGCACTGGAACTGTAGGATAGACCTACAGTGAAACATTATCTTTGTCATAACCTCACATATTGCCCCTTTCTTCCTGCATAACCAATAACTTCTACAATAGAACTGGTTTCTTCTTGCTCCTCATTTTTAATAGCTGACGCTTTGTTATTTGTATTTGATGGACCACTGTGCTCAAATGCTTGAAATTGTAAATAAAAGTATAGTTAAGAGGTTTAATAATTTAGTAGGAGATGTTTTATTCTTCAGCTGATGATTAATTATTCAACTGTCAAATAAGTGTGGTATCAGAATCATCTGAGCTACTTATTAAAGACATTCTTGGATGCCATCCCAGACCTACTGAATCTGAGTTTTTAAGGATTGGGGCCATAGAAATTTGCTTATGTAATAGGCAGATGTCTATTTTGTAATGTTATTAGAGAACTTTGTCTGAAAGGGGAAATGATTCTTTTATACAGCTTACTTTTCTGTACTTTCTAAGTATATCCAAAAGTCTCTTGGTAGTCTATAAAATTTTGTCTTTTAGATGTGATATAAAGTATAAATAAAACTTTTAAAATATACTGCTCAATTCAAAATTACCTTACTCTGATGCCCTGTTTTCTCATTACATTGTTCACCTCTCTCTCCCACCACTGTCATAGGAAGGCACAAGAAAGCCAAAAGGAGATGAAGCTGTTGCTAGATATGTACCGCTCTGCCCCAAAGGAACAGAGAGACAAAGTTCAGCTAATGGCAGCTGAAAAGAAGTCTAAGGCAGAGGTAATCTGTCTGCCATTACCTGTCCTTATGGTTAAAATCTTCATTTGTGGGGTTTTCCTTCATACTTCTCAAGGAGGTAGTTTCTTTTATCTTTAAAGTTAGTGTTTAAATGCAACATTTTCTACTCTTTCAAAGGCCATCTAAAGTAGATATTTTAAGATTCTTCACAAGATGGTAAGATTACATCAGAATTACTGGAATTAGGAGTAGGCTTACAAACGCTTTATTCCCTGCTTGACCTGTATGAATCATTGCTATAATGATTCTCTTTTTCTCATTATTTTTGGGAGAAATTTTATATACTTTTAAAATTTGGGGGTCTAGAAAAAAGGGTGATAACCACTATTCTAAAGAAAGATAGATGTGTACTCCTTAAAAAATGTTGCTCAAGAAGTGTGTAATGTTGGAATGGAGTAATGTTAAAACAATGTTATACACCTTTTGGACAGTAAAAAAAAAAAGCCCAAATAAAACCCCCAATGTTATAATGTGATATATATAATTTATTTTGTTCCATACTTCTGTAAAGGTTCTTTTGGTGTTATGGGCCCTCCATCTGTGCACAGTATTAATTGATTTTTGAAAATGTGTAAATAACTTATTCTTTGTTTTTGTATGGTTCCTTTCCTCCTGTAGTTGGAAGATCTAAGGCAAAGACTCAAGGATCTAGAAGATAAGGAGAAGAAAGAGAACAAAAAAATGGCTGATGAAGATGCCTTGAGGAAGATCCGAGCAGTAGAGGAGCAGATAGAATACCTGCAAAAGAAACTAGCCATGGCCAAGCAGGTGGGCACACTTTCTTTATTTAGTTGACTTGTTAAGTAAATGTTACTTTGTGAGTAAGTTACTGCCAGTGAAATTTGCTCTTTCATTCAAGTCTTTTTTTGTTAATATTTTTTTCTCCTATATGTTTTTTGTTTGTTTTTACATTGGAATCTTTCTTTCTGTCATTATTTTGTTTTATGTATTTGTGAGGCAGAAAATTTACTTTTATTTTCCAATGGATAGACAGTTGTTCAAACATTGTGACATTGTTTATTGAGGATCTGTTATTTCTCTGCTGACCTGGAATCAAGGGATATAATGAGTATAAAATGAAAATAAAGATAGAATATTTTACATACATTATGATTATAAATACATGAAACTAAGAAAACTATGGTTATAAATAAATATGTAATTATATAAATTTTTATATATACATATATGCTTAGATATTTTGTATTAATGCATATTTATAAAATTTTGTTTTATTTTTTATTTTGGTACTAGACAAACTAGTTTTAAAGTACATATGGAAAAGTAAATAAGAGTGATGAGGAAAATTTAAAAAGAAAAGCAAAAGGGTCTTTTCCAGGTATTAAAACATGAAGTTGCAGTAGGTAAAATAGCTTGGGACTACTGAACAGACTATTGGAACTGAATAGAAACTCCAGAAAGAAATCAAAGTACACATGGGTGTTTAATGTATGCTACAGATATAGTCTTAAATCAGTGGGGAAAAGGAAGGCTGTTAAATGTGATGGGATAAAAATTAAAAAATAGTATTAGAAAAAAATTGGATACATACTTGAATACTCTACATTGGGATGATTTCCAGATGGATCATAGATATGGTATTAAAAAATGACTCCATCAAAAAGCTAGAAAACAAGTAAATTCCTTTATAAATTTGGAGTAGAAAAGATCTTTCTAAGTATTAATCAAATGCTACAAAACATGAAAGATGGTAATGTTGAGTTATTAAAAAAAAAAAGGACATAAAAATTCTGCATGGCAAAAAAAACAATCCACAACAAAAAACACTGTTACCAAAGCCAAAAGATTAAATGACAAAAAAGAAAAAAAATTTTTCATTCTTCTCACAAAGGGGCTTATCTTTCTAATACAGAAATCTCTAAAATATGATAGGGAAAAAACCCAACAGCCCAGTAGAAGAATAGGCAAAAGATATGAGTAGTTCACATAAAAGAATAGAAATGGCTCTTAAATATATGAAAAGATGCTCATTCTCACTTATAGGTAAAAATTAAAGCTATTGTTAGATACCATTCGTCGCCTATCAGATTGCTATGACACTTTGGATGTTTGCAAGTGCAGGGAAATCTGTAGATTAAATTCAGTATTTTAATTGTGGAAAAGTAAGAGAAAATGTAAGTCTTATTATAGAGGTTCTCTTAATCAGCTGCTGCTTGATCAGTTTGCCTAGATTAAGGTATGTATAATGTCTGCTTTAACTGTCTTTGAGTACAGATCCACTAATGAGTATTAAATCAACAATTGGTGCCAGTGATTTCAGCTTAATAGGGCTTCTTCTGTATACCTAGGACTAACCTAGTGGCAAAACTAAGCTTCTGGCCGGGCGCTGTGGCTCACGCCTGTAATCCTAGCTCTTGGGAGGCCGAGGCGGGCGGATTGCTCAAGGTCAGGAGTTCGAAACCAGCCTGAGCAAGAGCGAGACCCCGTCTCTACTATAAATAGAAAGAAATTAATTGGCCAACTGATATATATATAAAAAATTAGCCGGGCATGGTGGCGCATGCCTGTAGTCCCAGCTACCCGGGAGGCTGAGGCAGAAGGATCACTCGAGCCCAGGAGTTTGAGGTTGCTGTGAGCTAGGCTGACGCCACGGCACTCACTCTAGCCTGGGCAACAAAGCGAGACTCTGTCTCAAAAAAAAAAAAAAAACTAAGCTTCTTAAAACTAAGTCTCTTCTATCACTAAGTTAATGTATATCTAAATGAATAGAGGGAAAGTTTAGTTTCCTGTGCTCATTCTTTGGAGTTAGAAGATTGCTTTAAAATGAAGTCTCTCCCTGTTTATTTTAGGAGGAAGAAGCACTTCTATCTGAGATGGATGTCACAGGCCAGGCCTTTGAAGACATGCAGGAGCAAAATATTCGTTTGATGCAGCAGTTGCGGGAGAAGGATGATGCAAATTTCAAGCTCATGTCAGAGCGGATCAAGTCCAATCAGATCCATAAGTTGCTTAAAGAAGAGAAGGAGGAGCTGGCAGACCAGGTTTTGACTCTGAAGACTCAGGTAATTAGGATGAATAGAGCTTTCTATTCTGTTGAAATAGGGTGCTTTCTGCATGTAAAAGAATGATGTGGCATTTTTTGTGGTAGGAAAAAAACCTGATGACTAAATGTCCATCATTAAGGTACTGGTAAATAAATTATACATCCCTATAATTGTGTATCTCTAAAAGAGTGCAGTGTAGCTGTTAAAACAAATATGGATTTGCTAATATGTGAAACTGTCTAAAAATAGTGATTTGTTCTATTATCCCTTTTGTTTTAAAATGTGTGTGTGTGCAAGTGCAGTGTATTTTAAAAATTTCTGGAAGGCTATGTGATAAACTTTGAGAATGGTTAACCTCTGGATATTGGGATGAGTTTATGGGTGAGGGGTTAGGAAGTGAGTGTGAATGATTTTACTTTTTACCCTTTGATGCTGTTTGATTCTACTTTGTGCACTACTTTCAAGAAAAAGACTGCTTTAGAACCTCTAGCCATTCTGAAAGAGATATGCTTGGACTTTGTTTAAGCCATAATTTATATGTTCTAGTATGAATTGCCAGGTTTTAAGCATTGGGATGGCCAGAAAAGATAAATATCTGTTATTGTTATTCCCCTATTTTTGGCAATTTTGAGAAGAATCTTTTCAGTGGTTTCTCAGTCTTATTTGAATCTTCAGCAATATTTTATATTAAAAGTGAAGCTTTCAACTTTTGTAGTCTTGATGTACTTTAAAGCATTTATGGATAAAATCAGTAATAGTTTGAGATTCCTAACATTGCATTTTGTGGGCCACAGATTAACAGAGAATAGTCAGGTGTTTGTTTTTTTATTTTGTTTTGGTCTTCCATTTTTGTTAAAAAAAAATCTGATTTTCTTCTTCAAAGGTCGATGCCCAGTTACAGGTAGTAAGGAAACTGGAAGAGAAGGAGCATCTTTTACAGAGCAACATTGGCACAGGGGAGAAGGAATTGGGTCTTAGGACCCAAGCCTTAGAGATGAATAAACGCAAGGTATGATTGAGTACTCTGTAATCTAAAGTGATGGTTAGTCTCAGAGGAGCAAAGAACTGTAACATTGATGAAATAATAGGTTTGCTTTTTTCCTTGAACTTGGGTTAATATTTTGTCTCATGGGAAAGAAGGGTAATAAGATGATTTTATTTGTACATCCCACATAGGCGATGGAGGCAGCCCAGCTTGCAGATGACCTCAAAACACAATTGGAGTTGGCCCAGAAGAAGCTACATGATTTTCAAGATGAGATTGTGGAGAACAGTGTTACCAAAGAAAAGGATATGTTCAATTTCAAACGAGCCCAGGTAAGAACAGTTGTCTTTTCTTTACATTTCACCTTTGGATGTAGACCTTCTGAGGTCTGAAGTGACCCATATGATGAATGAGTCATTGGTCTAATGTATATCATTTCCTACTTTCCTTTTTGTGATAGGAAAAAAACCTGAAAACTAAATGTCCATCATTAAGGTACTGGTAAATAAATTATACACCCTTACCAAGGAGTATACGTAGCTGTTAAAACAAATATGGATCTGCTAATATGCAAAAATTCCTTGAAGGAAGAGATCAAGTCTGCTTTCTTCACTGCCTTATTCCCAAAGCCTATTCTGGTGCTTAGCACCTAGTAGGCATGAAATAAATATTTATTAAATGAATAAGTCAGTGAATTTTTAAAGAAGTAGCAATGTAGCAATATTAGAGGATTTAAAAATTCTCCCACAATATCTCTATTTTTGTCTTGCCAGCTGTTTCTCATGATGCCTTTCTGTCCTTTCTTACAAATTTGTAAATTATTTTAAACCAATCTACCTTTGGCCTGAAACTAGTTACCATAAAATAAAATGGTCTAGCCTCTAAATTCTTAGACTATGTTTTCACAGGACTGAATTGGCAATACTTATATTAAGCTCTAATTTGGGGATATGATTATAGTTACCTGTTCTGAAACAAAATATCTTGCCATTTGTACATTTCTACATTTCTAAAATACAATTGGACATGAAAGGACAGAAAGTATTTTCTTTCCACTACAGAAAGTTCAAGTTGGAGCAATTATTTTTCTTCCAAATGGCAGGTTTGGGGAAGTGTGTCTAACAGGTATGCTATCCTACCACAGGAGGACATCTCTAGACTTCGAAGGAAGCTGGAGACCACTAAGAAACCAGACAATGTACCCAAATGTGATGAGATTCTGATGGAGGAGATTAAAGATTATAAGGTTAGAAAAACGGCCCCACTGATTTGTGTTTTTGTCAAGGTCTGAAGTGGCCTATGAATGGACTGGAGAATAAATACTACACTTCTTTACATGACAGTAACCAGAGAATTGTTTATTTTGGAAGTGATGGAAAGTGGTACTCTTGTCTTAGTGCCTTGTGGGCTTTCTTGTTTGTTTGTTTATATATGAGAGCCGTGTGGATCACGAACCTTTATGGTTGCTAAGCTCTGACTTCTTTTTCTTTTTAGGCACGCCTGACCTGTCCATGCTGTAACATGCGTAAAAAGGATGCTGTACTTACCAAGTGTTTTCATGTTTTCTGCTTTGAGTGTGTGAAGACACGCTACGACACCCGCCAGCGCAAATGTCCCAAGTGTAATGCTGCTTTTGGTGCCAATGATTTTCATCGCATCTATATTGGTTGACCCAAGTTAAGAGAAGAAGAGGAGCTGGCTAGACAGGCACTTATTCATTAACCACCGATCCTCTACCTCTTCTCTCCTTGACAGTCATCTTCAGGACAGTTTTTCTGTCAACTGCCTTTCTTCCACAGATTTCATGTCGAGGCTCTCCTCTCCAGTAGGTGGATGACTTTAGCAGAAAGGACTGGTAAATGCAAATCTTGGGTTTTAGAATGAATTAGAAACAAGCAACTCTTATTTGTTTTCCCTACCAGCTTTGTTTATTTCCTGCTTTTAGACTTCAACATTTTCTTTTTCTGGCTCACTATTCATTCCTCCTGAAGAAGCCAAGATGGTATTTGTGACATAGAGAAGGAAACAAAGAGTGGAAACATGACTGTTTGGGGGGAAGTGATCTTTTAGAAATAAGCTAGCCATGGACACAAACTTTTCTTGATTTGGGTAGTAAACTTTTTATACACTTGGATTATAAAATGGTATAATTGTGCCATTCTTCCCTGGATGGTTTGAAGCCCTGATGAAATTATGTCCAGGATGGTTCAATCCATTTCCCATTTACTAGCAAAGAAACTTATTAAGGTCAGCTAGTTTTCTTGTTAAAGTTATTTAAGTTTTGAATGTTCTGCTTAAAGTCTTTAAATTTCTTAATTCCGGAATGATTTCAAATAATGTAGCCCCTTTTGTCTTCTAATGAAATCAAGACTGGAGAGGGCGCAGAAAAGGCCTGAGATGGTAAAGAGGTCTTGCGGGTACTCTGGGAACTATACAGAGATGCCTTGGTGAGCTATGAATTACTCTCATCCTTCTTTCCATGGGGGTTTTTGTGATCCCTGTTTCCAGAAGATTTTCTGTAATATTTCTGTAGGACCTTATACTCCAAAAGCTTCAATTAAAGCAAGATTCAGTTTACTTTTGTGTTTGTGGTTTCTCTTTGAAACTTTTGTCTTTGTAATTACTAATTGATTTTATACCTACTGTTCTGAAATCAGATCTCATGAGCAGAAATAATTAGCTTAGATTAAGAGATGGCTGTGTTTAAAATGTCTAGTTCTTTGATTAATTGAAGCACTTTTCTCCCAGGTGTTTTGTTGAGTCTGTTCTGAGGAGGAATTATGCCTAAAAGATGTTGACTTAGAACTTGGGAATAGGTAGTCAAAAAATAATAATAATAATAATAATTTATTTGACTACTGAATTCTTTTCCATTGTTTACTATGGTGGGGTGGAGGTAAGATATTGTGATTTATTTTTCAGGTAATATAATGCCTGGTGCTTTAGTTTGAGAGTTCTTGTATTATGTTTATAGTAACCAGCAAACCAGAGGTTTTCCATATCTCTGGTAAGGGTTGTATAAAGTGGATCTTTTTTTTTTTCTTTTCTTTTTTACAACCTAGTGTTAGCAAAGTAGATCTTTTTAAATCACCACCTGTCCTAGAAAATTGGTAAGGGAAAATTCCATGTCCTTTTGTGGTCACTAGCTATAATCAGTGGGATTTGTGATGAATTTGACAGAGTTGTGTGATGTGGGTTAAGGAATGAGTCTAACTGGAGAACCTTACAAGGTCATCAAGAGAGGTCATGGATCACTCAATACCCCTGCCCAACATATACACACAACCATGATGGGGTTAGGCCCTGCTCCTTTTCACACATAGTGAGTTTGCATTTAGTACAGGATACTTTCTCTTTGCTACTCATTCTTCTTATAGGGCACGGTTGAACATAATTTTGTTGGCTTGGGGATAAATAGACTACTTGGACAGCAGGTGGCTTGGGTTTATGACAATTGCCTGGGAAAGCCAGTTGCCCAGCACCAGGGGACTGTGTGGCGCATAGAATGCTGTGGAGAGAAACCACTAGATCCATGGGAAGCTGGATTTAGAGGAAGTTCCTCTAGTTGAGAAGAGCAGGGAGAAACCTCAATCCCAACTAGCTCGAGGTCCAGGAAATACAAGGTGACCTCTCAAAGTTATTTTTCAGATAATAACCAAAAACGGTGGTGATTACCTTTTTGGTAGTAACCTTCTGTCACTACAGAAGAGGTCAATGAATGGGCTTCAGGAATATCCCCAAATAGCATACCAAATGTTGTTTATACATTAGTAGTAGCTTGTTTCATATTCTTAAAGGAATTTTGAAGCCTTGCAGATCTTGATCCAACTTTAAAAGGTAATTTCTTTAAAGTAATGCAAGGGCATCCAAATGGGGGCAGAAGAGGTCAAACTATGGTTCTTTGCTGACAATATGATCTTATATCTAGAAAATCCTGAAGATTCTGCCATGGGACTACTGAAATTGATAAACAAATTCAGCAAAGTCTCAGATTACATAACCAATGTACAGAAATCAGCAGCATTTCTATATGCCAACAACAATCCAACTGAGAACCAAATTGAAGACACAATACTCTTTACAATAGCAACAAAGAAAATAAAATACCTAGGAATATATTTAAGGATATGAAAGACCTCTATAGGGAGAACTACTAAACACTGACAAAGGAAATAGCAGAGGACATAAACAGATATAAAACCATGCCATGCTCATGAGTTGGCAGAATCAACATTGCTAAAATGTCCATACTACCCAAAATGATCTTCGGATTCAGTGCAATCCCTATTAAAATACCAATATCATTTTTCACAGATCTAGAAAAAAATAATTCTATGCTTCATCTGGAACCAGAGAAGATCCTGTATAGGCAATCTTAAGCAAAAAAAAACAAATTGGGAAGCATCAATTTACCAGACTTCAAGCTATACTAAAAGGCTATAGTAACTAAAACAGCCTAGTACTTGCACAAGAACAGAGACATAGACCAATGGAACAAAACTGAGAACCCAGATATAAAACCATTCTCATATAGCCATCTGATCTTTGACAAAGCAGACAAAAACATACATTGGGGAAAGGAATCATTATTCAATAACTGGTGCTAGAAAAATTGGATAGCCTCATGTAGAAGATGGAAACAGGATCCACACCTCTTGCCTCTCACAAAAATTGACTCATGATGGATAACAGACTTAAACCTAAGGCGTGAAACTATAAGAGTTCCACAAGAGGCCGGGCACAGTGGCTCACACCTGTAATCCTAGCACTCTCGGAGGCCGAGGTGGGTGGATTGCTCAAGGTCAGGAGTTCGAAACTAGCCTGAGCAAGAGTGAGACCCCGTCTCTACTATAAATAGAAAGAAATTAATTGGCCGACTAATATATATAGGAAAAATTAGCCAGGCATGGTGGTGCATGCCTGTAGTCCCAGCTACTTAGGAGGCTGAGGCAGAAGGATTGCTTGAGCCCAGGAGTTTCAGGTTGCTGTGAGCTAGGCTGACACCATGGCAGTCACTCTAGCCTGGGCAACAAAGTGAGACTCTGTCTCAAAAAAAGTAAAAGAGTTCCACAAGAAAATGTTGGAAAAACTCTTACAGACATCAGCCTAGGGAAAGAATTTATGAAGAAGACCCCAAAGGCAATCTCAGCAACAACAAAAATAAATAAATGGGACCTGATCAGTCAAGGAAACTATCATGAGAGCAAACAGACAACCTATAGAATGGGAGAAAATATTGCCATACCACACATCCAATAAAAGGTTGACTAGAGTCTATACAGAACTCAGGAAAATCAACAAGAAAATATCAACCCCATTAAAAAGTGGGCAAAAGACATGAACAGAAACTTTTCAAAAGAAGACAGACTAATGCCAAGAAACATATTTAAAAATTCTCAACATCTCTAATCATCATGGAAATGAAAATCAAACCCACAATGAGATATCACTGAACTCCACTGAGAATGGCTTTTATCAAAAAGTCCCGAAACAACAAATGTTGGTGTGGATGTGGAGAGATAGGAACACTCACACACTGTTGGTGGGACTGTAAACTAGTACAACCTCTAACGGAAAGTGACATGGAGATACCTCAAAGAGCTAAAAGTAGAACTACCATTTGGGCCCACAATACCATTATTGGATACCTTCTCAAAGGAAAAAAAATATTTTATAAAAAAGACATCTGTACTCTAATATTTACAGCAGGACAATTAACAATTGCAAAGATGTGGAAACCACCCAAGTGCCCATCAATACATGAGTGGATTAATAAAATATCATATATGTATACCATGGAGTACTTGGTACAAAAAACAATGGTGAACTAGCACCTCTTATAGTATCCTGGATGCACCTGAAGCCCTTTCTACTAAGTGAAGTATCACAAGAATGGAAAAACAAGCACCACATGTATATGTATGTTAAAAAGAAGTAATACCTATAAATGCCAATTTCAAAGATTATTGTAGAAGTACTAGAGGCTTCCCATTTTTTAAAAAGAATTTTAGATCTTGTAGAGATCCTCTTCCCATGCCCCCTCCCCTTTTTTTGCTTTCTTTTGTTGTTACTCTGGAAATTTCTTAGCAATTTTGACCAAAATCAGGTGCGTTCTGAGGCACATGTCTTAGCTATATGGCTTGGTCCTTACCTTCTATCTTACTATAGCAATCTTTTTCAAAGGTATTGAGCTATTTTTGCTAGCTATTGCATTCTTATATGAATTTCCATTGCGATTCCTTGCTTTTGCTTGTTCTTGCCCAGATCTTCAGACATCCTTGTTCATCAAGAGTAGGAGTTCTGGCACATAGTATAATGTGCATGCTGCTTGATTTGATATTGTGAAGATTCTGGAAAGTAAACGGTCATCTGTTTTAGACGGTGATACTTATTATTGCAAGAAACATATAATGCTCACACCTTTATTCCCATTTTATTTGCTGTTGTGGAATACCTTTAAATATTGTTGCTTAAGACATTTTTCTGAGGACTCTCAGTTGATTGATAAACCCAAGTCCCAGTGAGTCTGCAGAAAAATTGATTAGTTCTTATTACAACAGTCTATTTGACTGACTTATGGTAAGACAGCTACACTGAGATTAAGTAGAAAACTGGTGGGTTTTGTGCATGTTGTGTTGGGTTTACACAATAGGAAATCCCTGTCATGGAAATACTTAAAAATTGTCCCATCACAATAGAAAAATTAAGCTTTACTTCTGGGAATTTCTGCCCGAGTTTGGTCTCTTCCTACTGTTAGCTATTAAGGTCTTATTTATAGCATACTTCACAATTACTAAATTTAGGACATGGAAAAGACAGTGCCTTAATAGTTTAATCCCAATATCTAGCAGAGACAGAGTACTCAGTAAAGGTTTCCATCAGTAACTTAATTCAGCTCCATGCTTCTGCTGCCAAATCTTTATTGGGCCAGTGTGTGAATTCAAACCGTATTACTCTTTTTTTTTTCATTCCCTACATGGAAACAATTTTTCTTCATATACTGAGGTAACTCTTCAAATTTGGATTATTCTAAAATATATGGCTGCATTTTAAATTTCTTTTGTGGTGGTAAAGAATTATTACAAATTCTGAAACTAAGAAACACCTCTATAGAGGCAGCCCATGACAGCTGAGGCTTCTCTTATTGTAGATTACCTTTTTTTGAGGGAAGGTTTATTTACATTAATATAATTATATATTCTAAGGATTTCAAGTTATAGAAATGTATGAAATGGAATAATTTGAAAGGTAGGATGTGAGAGCTCAAAGGGACCTCAAACTACGTCCTTACTTTACAGATGAGGCTCCATGGTCACTCGGTTTAGCCACAGAATTGAAATGTGACTATCAGACCTTCACTGTCCTTCTTTTATCCTGAGTGGAGACCTGTACCAATAGAGTACTTGTCACCAGGCAGTTAATAAGCTAAAATATTTTGAGTCATTCTGAAGTCTTTCTGAAGATGTGTAAACCTAGTATAGTATTAGAACTATCCTTGGTAGTTCTAATCTAAGTAGGTTCTCTTTGTCAGGCCCTGGATTAGGACTGCATTTTGTTTCTGAAATTCATTAAGAGTTCATTTAGCACCTTGTTGTGGAGTAGAATTGAACCAAAGGGATCTTAGATTTCTCCCTGCTCTCTCAATCTTATTATGCATTTGTTGAGTGCTTATTGTGATTTCAGGCACTGTGTTAAGTATATTTCTTATGAAGTCAGATTTGTATGAGTATGGCTCTGCCATGTATTAGTAAATTACTTCACTTCTCTGTGTTTCTATTTCTTCATCTATAATAACTATATCATAGGGTTGTATTGAGGATGAAATGAATCAATATATATGAGACATTCAGCATAGTGCCTGGCACCTAGTAAATGCTCATAAAATACTATTATTATTATTGAAAATAAATTGATAGGTCAAATTTTGTTTCCCGCCTACATTTTCTTCCTATATCCAGGAAAAAATAAGACTGACATCCTCCCTGAAATCTATGTCACATGTGTTTATCCATGTTTATCTCTAGTTTGTCTGTCCTGGTTAAATGATGCCATGGCCAACTCATTCCATAACATGAAAATATTACCTTTATCTATCTGCTCACTGCCCTGCAAATGAACAAAATGTGTGTGTGATGGCCAGCTCCACCTAGTGGTGTGGATCCTGGTCTTTTTAATCTCTCTTTCTTCAGTTTAAAATCCTTTAATGGTTCTCACAGTCTTCAGAACACAAATCCAATTTAGCACAGTGATCTTGCCCCTGCTTTTCTCTTTCCAGTTTTTATAGCTGGTCACCTACCTTGAGCTTTATATTTCTGTCATAATGAACTATTTGAGTTCCCAGTTTCTTGATTGCCATGATTTCCTAAATCTGAAATTTTACACATGCTATTTCTTTTATATGGGATGCCTGTTACCACCTAATCTCTACACCTCATGTATGTGTGCACACATGGTAAGTGTCTTCTTTGCTCCCATAGCACCCGGTGTGTGTGTTTTATCAGAATACACACCCCACAGTGTTGCCAGTTTGTGTCCCCTCACTAGACTGAGCTCCATGGGATCAGAATCTATTCTTTTTATCTTTCTGTCTCCAGCAGCTAGCCCAATGCCTGGCTCCAAATAGGCATCCAAAAAAATGAATGACTGAATGATATAAAAAAGGTAGGTAAGTCAGCAATTGAATTAGGTTATAATAGGTTTATATTTTTATGATATTTGAATTGGTTCTACTCCAAAAGAATGTGTGTAAAGAATGCATCAGGCTGGGATATTCTGAAGGCAAGTTTGCCAGCAGCTAAAATGCCTGGATTGTCAGAAACTGCTGAGATGCCTGAGACCACAGGGCTGCTAAGTGGTTTGTAACCGTGTTTGCACCAGTTCTCAATTGGGCTAGAAAGCAGAAAGAAAAGACACACTATTTTTGTGAGACTTAGGGAGTGCTGTGTTGAGTTAAATGGACCAATGCGGGTGCAGTTATAATATCAGCTTCCGTTTGTGTTCTGTGGAGCTGGGGGCCAGGCTGAGGCATGGGCAGGAGGTAATGAGGCAGAAAGACTAACGGGGGATTAGAGGAAGAAGAGGAAGTTGTAAGGCAATGATTAGAGTCCTCTCAATATTGTGTGGTTGTATGGATCTCTGCTACTACTATTACTAGCTGTGTGACCTTGAGCAAGTTATATAATTTTTCTGACCCTCAGTTTTTTCATCTGTTCTCTAGAGATCTCCTTTATCTGCTCTAGAATACATTGATAGTACCTATCTCACGGTGTTAAGATGAAATGAGATCATGATTTGTAATAAGTGCCCAATAAATGTTAGCTGTTGTAATATTGCCTGTTTACAGGTTATGAAAAGGTCAGATTGTGAGAAGGTCTCTGAAGTTACAGACCATACCCATCTTGTTCACTGTTGTGTCTCTAGCACTTGGCACATAAATGGAGGCTGTTTAGCAAATGTTTTTTGAATTACTAAATGAAGTGTAATCAGGGCAGAATTTTTAGAGATCCTTGAATATTGTGGTTTTTTTCTATAATGTCTTTCTCAGATGAAGCCATTTCAGTTCCACTTCATGATGCATAGGCTCTGAGTTTTCTCACCATATCTTGTGTTACTTCTTTGGACTATGCTAAGGAAACAATCATAAGCCATAATATTAATGGGTCTCCTGCTAGGAAGGAGCTGGTATCATGTCAACATTTGAATCCCCAAAGACAATGCCAGCAGTCCATCCAAAGTAAAGTTTCTATCTGAACATTTATTCCACAGTCATAGAAACTAAAGATGGAAAAGACCTGAGGACATCTAGTCCATCCACGTGGTTGTACAAGAAAAGTGGCTGGAGCAAAACAGCCTGTTCACTTCATGCTCACAAGACAGCATTTCCGTTCTTCCTGGAGCGGAGCGATTGCAAACACATTAAAATGAAGACACAATGCAAATACTCTTCACAAACCTTAAGAAAATACTTATAAGTACATTATTTTCATAAAATGATTAGTAACCTAAAAAAAAGAGTGATGGAATCCTGGATTAGATGAATGGTTTAGGTGGGTAAAGAAAGGAATAACTAAACAGTGTAGATAGTGAAGTGGTATTAATGACTAGAAAGCAATTTCTGAAGACTGGTTGGATTTTCTGGTTTGCCTATCAAAAATATGAGTTGGGAGGAAAAGAGGCTCTAAAATAGTTAATTTCCCCTGTATTCTTTAGCTACACCAAGGAAATGCTTCACTTGCTCCAAGGCTCTAATAGACTCAGCACTAACACTGAGAAGTCTATTACCCATATGATACAGTCTGTTCTGCTTGGCACTTGCTCCACTTACCACTTCTCTGTCTGGAAGGGAAGCAGTGGCTCCTGTATAGGATTTGTGCAATAGCAAGATTCATGGATAATGGAGAGTTATCTCCAGGCACATTAAAGACCTCAACTGCTTACGTCCCTGTGACTGCCTCACTTGGCTGTCCTGGTCATTCTTCCAACTTGTTTTCAATTTTGGGGGGAATCCTTTTTCTCCTTTACCTTGAGGCATACACTCACTGCAACTCATACTATTCTTATCTACATGAACCAAGTAGCTATATCTGTTCCAACTCACTCAGTCATGCTTTACTGTGTGCTGCTTGTGCCAGGAATTCCCCCTTGGAAAACAGGGTTAGGGTGTGTGACAGAGTTTGTTGTATTCCAAGTTTCCCAGCACCAGAGCTTGGAAGAGAATGGGGGCCTTCTGATCTCATGAAATGAGAGCCCAGGAGAGGAGGCAAGGTAGCATCGCTCTCTCTTTCCTTTACCAAAATACCACCCTCCACCTGAAGGCTTCTGATCTTTTGTGTTTTTTTTGAGCCTGAGGGGAGTTGAAAGAACAGAGGTGGAGCAGAACAGAAAGGAGGTTTTCAAGGACCCACCATCTCATGACATCTTTTTACAAAACACAACACACTGTTTCACAAATTGCAAAACACTGTTCAATTACTACCAATAAAAATAACCATTGCTATTTAACATGAAGATTGCTTCATTTCACCACAAGCAATTGTTTTTTTTCTTTATTCAGAATGTGGAGGCATTTCAAGCAATGTTGATGGCAGTAAGTCTGCCTTCAGTCCCTGCTGCTTCTTGCTGCATCCTGGCTGCTGTTTTGGCCAGGTAGTTCCCCAGAAAATACTTGAGGAGCATGCACTGGTCATCTACTCTGTGGATAGGCAGCTCGGTCTGGCATGTGATCACCACTGCTCAGAATGCCTCAGTAGAGAAGCTTAAGGTAAACCCGATATACAAAAACCCAAACTTACAAAACAGATACATTAAGGGATAATTAATTGCATTACAAAAGGGTTCTTTACTTTACAAAAGAATTCACCTCTGGGTTCCCTTAAATAGCCAGCTTCTCAAATACAGTCGGATTATGAGTTATAAAAATGTCCATGTACAACATTAGGAGCATGGCTGTAATGTGAATTGAGGTACACCTGTACATCAGACTTCTAGGCTGTGCAGAGGTTCAGGGGTGTGCAGACTACAATGGCAGAATCTACAGCATCCTTGTCTGTTGCAGATGGGTGGAGATGGCTAAGGGGCATAATCTTCCAAAGGCAGCTGCATACCTACTTCTGGGACTGGAGCGAGAATGTAGGGGTATAGGGCATTTCAAGGCAGAATTGTCCTTTTCTGTTTTCAGGGCTCACCTCTTACCTCATCATTGAACTGTTTGATCTGTGGGGTTAAGTCTAACTTTAGAGCCCTCCCACATGTTCCTTATCAGTATCTCTGATCCTACCTTCACTCCAGGGTTTTTTCAGCCAATTAACTAATTGCTAAGGTGTTATCTAATTACTGCTTAAGGTGTTATCTTTCCCTGGGGGACTAAGTAGCTCTTGGTGGAAATGCAGATGTTTTACCCAAAAGTAAGGGGAGAAATTTTGTGACTGAGACACCTTTCCAATTAATTACCTGCAGCTGTTAAAGATCACAGTGCTTGGCACTGGGAGTGCACTCATTGTAGGTATTCAAATTGAGTACTAAGTAGACAAAGCAAGTAATTGATAAACAAATCTTGTCCTAAATGGTACTGGGAGTGGGAGGAGTGGGGATGTGGAAGGAGAATCAGATTTGTGCTGAAGCTAAAAAACAACAAAAAAACTCTCAAAGTCTCCCTCTTCACAATTCCCCCAAACTTCTAGAACAGTGTTTCTGGAAGGCCAATTTTTGGATCACCTGTGTTAGTCACCTGGGGATACTGGTTAGCAGTAGGTTTCTGAGCCTACTGCCAGACTCCCTCTCCACAATCCATGGGGTAGGGTTCTGGCCATCAGCATTCTGATGAGTTTCCTGGATCTGTGACCCCTAACCCACGGGCCGCAGCCCAGTACCAGTCCGTGGCCTGTTAGGAAACGGCTGCGTATCACTGCCTGAGCTCTCGCCCTAGTCCCCAGACTGTGGAAAAACTGTGTTCCATGAAACCAGTCCCTGGTGCCAAAAAGGTTGGGGACCGCTGCCCTAGATGATTCTTACGTACACTAACATTTGGGAACTGAAGTTCTAGAATTCCCATATTCCTTTCCCTTTCTACATGGCCAAGCAGTTGTATTCTGGGAAAGGGTTGCCTAGGCAGAGAGGCAGCTGGGTTATTAGTCTTTGGGGGAATTATTTGGGGCCTGGAGGATAATTAGATGGAACCTAACCTGTTCATAGCTCCTCAGAGATGAGTGAGTGTGAGGATGGCAGATTGACTTGGTGAGTATTTGCAAAGCACAGGGCAGATTCCTGAAGGTTGAACTTGTGATGTTCACAGGCTGCAGGTTCACTTTTGGGATTTCTATGCCAAGAGATAGGTGACTGCGGATCTGATAATGGCCTAGTATATGGTGTGCAGAACGTTTCACTTAACCCGCAGTGCCAGCCCACGTATCGTGTTATAGGCAATAAGCAGGCATATTCCAGGTCCATCTTAAGGCCACAACCTTCTTTGCTTTTTTCTCTCTCTCTTCCTTTATAAAAGGCACACATTATAGTGGAGATGCTTAGCTAGATTAGAAGTATAGTCTTATTCATTCCTTAGCCAGATTGCCATCTTGGCCCATAGCTTTTGTTCTAAAAGCATGCTGTGCATTTTTAATACCTCTTCTGCCCATCTTCTGTCCTCACTTACCATATCCCTGTCTCCTTTCCTAGTGGCATGTAAGCATGTTCCTCCTAAATGTTAAGACGGAGTCAAAGATCCAGAACCTCAAACACATGGCTCCTGCCTGATCCGGTCAATCCTTGGCCTGCCGTGATACTGATGACTTCAGTACCCCTTCCAAGAGTGGGGTACTTTGCTCTTACCCTGCTCCCCATTCAGAATGTAGGAACAAATCTAGACTGGAGAGTTGTATCAAAACCTACAACCCTGGATAATCCTGTTTTTATATTAAGATTAAAACCAATAAACCAGTAAGACATAGGTATGAGTAACAATTTTATCTCTTGTTGACAGTGCAGAGAAAGGGCTAAAAACCAGAAATATTACTGTGGCACCTGGTGAAAAGATTGAAAGGAGCTGAGATTGCCTGGTTATTCACAGATCCCTTACAAAGAGCTTACTCCTGATTAATTTAAGATTCTTGCTATGAAAACGACCCCTATCCTGGAGACCTAGGGAGTGAGCTTGGGAGAGCTGCTGCCGCATGTTAGGCTAGGGAGAGCAGACTTGACCTCTAAGAAGACCTAGCCCTCAGCTTGCCCACATCTGTGTCAGTAGTTACAAAAGAGCATTACAAAGTGTCTCAAGGGCTCAGAGGAATGCCAGGAACTGAGAAAGGGGAGCAGTGTGATCACCTAGGACTCACAAGTCCGATTTGTCCTTTGATACTCTTCCAGCTCCGTTTTCCTGCTCACAGCCAGCTGTAGCTCCTGACGGATCACCTGAATCTGCTTCTCGAGCTCGGAGAGCTCCTGCATCACTGAGTTCCGGGATACATTTAGGGAGTCTGCTTTCCCATTGGTGGTCAGCAAGGCAGGGAGCTCTCTTCTCCTTGGAGGGAGAGGGATGTCCTGGTGGGTCCGGATGCCCAGCTGGTTTTGTCCTTCCTCGTCACTAAAGATGTATTTTCGTCGGTTGTCATGACTCAGATTGGAAGTATTCCACACGGTGAGCTGACGGGGTCCCATATTGGACCTAGGAAGCAGAGACATTTTAGATTTACTTTCCATTCTGCAGCTCTCAAAGTGCTGTTCTCCATCTGTTAGCCATTGCCTATGTGAATAATATGCATTTGGGGATGAAGTAACAAATTCATGGACAGACTGCCTGCTAGAGTGTCATGGGGACAAAAGGAGCCATGAACTTTGAACTGAAATTCAAGGTCTTATCAAGTCTTATGCTGCTCTGAAACTGGAATGGGGAATCACCTGGAAGGAAGGCTGATGGCATGGTGTGTGGCACATTCTTCTGTGCCTTTATATTCCCTTCCTGTGGGTGAAGCTCAGAGACCAGCACTGCATTGAAATATTCTGTGGGCTATAAAGATGGTGCCTTAGTAAAAGTGAAAATCTTTTATTCAGATGTTGGACGCTAAGCAGCAGCCCATTGATAGACCCTATAATACAGCCCATCCTTAGTCCCACAGGACCACTCCAATGTTTACTACTTGATTTTAGGGAGAATAAAAGCATATAAACCACAGGTTTCAGCAAAGTGTTTCTCACTGTAGGGATGATTTTATGTGGATTGAGAATGACAGGTCTGTTCTGATGCTTAAAAAAATAAAAGAAGCTCTCAGGTTCCTGCTGGGATGATGAAAATCAAATAGAACCTGATTTGCAATCCTGTTTTAGGCTTGCGTTGTACCACCTATACCATTGTGGGGAGATGACACTGGACAGCAAGAGAGTTGCTGATAGGGACTCATAGGAGGAGGTGAACCGGTATCTGAAATACACTTTGACACTTAGATGCAATGAGGACTTCTTTGCTACAAGAACAGATTAAAGCCCCAAGCAGCGTAGCTTCTGATTTCTTTTACCCTAGGCAGAGGAGGAGGAGGATTATGACCATTTTTGCAATCTACCACAGGACAAAGCAAAATAGAAACACCCTATTAAGTCTTCATGTTTTCGTTTCCATGCATATAACTGAATCGACTTTATTCCTGGGCTCTTACTTGCCAGGAGGAGAAGGGAACTGGAGGGCAAAGGGGAAGGAGAAGGATAATAAAGTCTTGATGTAAAAGTGGTCATAAACCTCCATTCCTCCTTTCATCTATGCCCTTCTGTAATATGACTTCGCAGCTCATCCCTATCAGGTTTCTTTTCCCCTTGAATTAGCGTTGGTCTCATAACTTTTTTGGCTGATAGAAAGTGGCAGAAGTAGCAGGGAGGCATTTCTAAGCCTAAGCTTTTATGAAGCCTTGCACACTCCCACTCTGTCTCAGAACCCTGCTATTGCAATGTGAACAAGTCCAGACTGGCCGGCTGGATGGTGAAAGACCATGTGGAGAGAGTCCCTGGCCTTCCCAGTTGACCCAGCTGAGGCCATCATAGGCCAGGCAGCCCTTAGCTGCTTTTCCCCTCCCCCTGAAGCTGGCTGCAGACGTATGAGCAAACCCAGCCCAAATCAGCGAAGCCTGGCTCAGATCAGCAGACTGCACAGCTGAACCATAGATTAGTAAGCACCTCACTGTTGTTTAAAACGTTAAGTATTGGGATGATTTCTCACATGGCAAAGACCAACTGATCCATGCCCCAAGCCATTAAAATACACAAACACACTCCAAACCACCCTGTAGTTCTTTAACAAAAGTGAGCAGAGGGCACCAGAGTTCAGTTTTCATGTGTCCTGGGCTGGGTAAAATTCTATAAGGAATTAGAAGGCTTTAGACTTAAATCAGAAAAAAGATACAGTTATAATTTTCCTTTCAGCTTTACAGTTCCCCTTAATTTTCCCTTCAAATCTTTTCTTACTGAGTTTGAATAATTTCAAAGCAATCTTATTTGTGGTGTTTGTTATATGGTTTGCAATTTTTGTGTGCCTTAGAGTGAAACAAAAGAGAAAAGGAAGCTCTATTGGGAAGCCAGTGAGGTGAAGGATAGACCAAAATGTCCCTGAAATCACATGTTGAATGAACTAAGCACTATCTGTAACTAGTCTCTTGCAATATTCATTATTTCTCTGCATTAAATAAGGAGCAACATCTGCTTCTATACAATGGACCACAATTTCCCCAAACATTTCCTCAAACTCTTATGTTAGCAATTCATTCATTTATGTATTTTATTCATTCAGTAAATATGGAGCATAGGGGAGTGATGTCAGGTAGGGCATTTGCAGGAATGAGAGGGAGAGGGTGTTCTCAGACCTAACTCTCTAGTACCATAGAATGATTCATGGCAGGGAAATCCTGGGAGTTGAGCATCTGCACATTTTCTTGGACTATTCAGGCAACCACAGTGATCAGGTAAGTAGAGATAGCCAATCTGGTTATCTTCAAAGCTTTATATATCTATCTGGTAATATAGAAGAATAAACAGAAGCTGAACTCCATGGCAAACTCTAGTTGCATGCACCACCAATGCTATGCTCATTGTTGTGTGGCTCTGGGCTACTTATGAGTGTCAGGTGACAGATGGTGAATATAAGATTTAGTGTCTAATTGCAACGAATGAGGGGGTTACAATCTTGGCCTCAATAACATTTAGGTTGTGTTTTGTATTAAGCCTTCCTAGAGTGTAATGTGACCAGTGAATGAACTGTTTTTTAACATTATAAATGAGCAAAATAGGCTTCTGTGAAGCAATTATATAACAAAGAGGTTCAATGCTCCACTGGACCATTCAAAAGAGACCTGAAGGCTGTGGGACCCCAAACACTCATTGTGTTTAAAAAGTTGTAAATGTTGGGCTGTAGAGAGGTGGGCACAGGAAATGTGGGCCCAAGATAAAGCAAGAGAACAAGTTCTGCCTTAGCTCCTTCTCAAAATAGGGGGTTCAGGAAGGGAATCCGCCAAGAAAAGTGGGTAAGTGGAGTGAAAAGGCACATTAGGTTCTTGATTTAAGTGAGAAATATGTGGATATGAATCACATCACAGTAGGAGATGGGATCATTGGGCTCCGTTTCTGTAGCTGGAACACAAATGTTTTTGCCATTGTAAGATGATAACTTTGCTGCTGTCTTGTTGTGTTCTTCTGGTTAGAAATTGATGTTAAAATAATTATAGAAAAAATATATGTAACATGACTTGGAACAGCTGTGACCTGATTAGTCCACAGCTTGTCAGGAACAGACTTGCAATATGACACAGGAAAACCACAGACTGAGAGGGGTTTGGGGAGTGCTCATTGACTGGAAAGAGAGCCTGTAAGAAATAATGGAAATGATTCTGACAGGCTAGATGCAAAAACTGGAGAGAAGAGGATGGCAGCAGTCCCAGAGGAGATACAAACAATGAAAAAAAATCATGTTTTCCATCCCCGTTTCTTTTGTTATGATGAGAGGTGTGAATATCAGCTTTTAAAACTATCCAGAAAGCCAAGCTTTGAGCTGAGGATATGCCATAGATGACAAGAGTTGCTTGGAGCTGATGCCCTTGTCTGAGGCCTCTGGGAGTATGAAAGAACCAGGAGGGCTGCCCCAGGCAGCAGGCAACAGAGGCCAGTCAGGAACCAGACCCAAAAGCTTCTGACATCTTTAGTCACCGTGAATAAGGCACCAGTCAGCCACAGGCTGGCTGTGGTGAAGGTGCAGGGTTTCAATGTTCAAATATCATTGATGCATTAAATACTTGTTAATTCCTATTAATGAGATGCTCTCTCCTAGGGAATTGGTAGAAGAATGCCAGGAAATGGTTTAACCCTTTGCACTTGGATGTCGAGTGTGACTCAACACGGTTAGCAAAAATTATAGAGATTAAAATTACTCTTTGAATGTATCAATAATTTGAAATATTAAAAAATCCAAATAAATAAGTTTGTATGAAAAGAAACTCCAGTTTTTTATTCTACTGCCGCGCTTTGTAAAATCTGGGGTATTTAAAAAATTAAATCCTGAGTAGAATAAAGGAATCAAGAAAAAAGCGAGTACAAAGGGTTAGGCAGGACATGTCTGGTACATATTTCAAATACTATTAATATATTCCTAGGAGTGCTGGAAAGGGGTGGGGAGTGCAAACATGCCCAAATGATATCACATGAAATTAATTGCTTGCACTGCTCATGAATGAAGTCTTTCATATATAATAATAGCTAATATTTATTAGGCATTTGCTTTGTCTTCAGGGCTTTACATGTATTATCTCATTTAATCTTTATACCAGCTCTAGGAAATAGACACTGTTTTTATCTCAATTTCACAAATGAGGAACCTGAGGCACAGGGAGTTTAAATAAACAAGCTGTCAAAGTAACATGTATTGTAAGTGTCGAGACAGGATTTGGATCCAGATGGTTGACTCTAGAGTCCACGCCTACACCCTACCCATGACAGTGTATTATTGCCTGTACTGCATGTCAATGTCCATATTTATTGTTTATTTTATCTCTTTTATTTATCTGAAAACACATGTATTTATACTTATTTTATTTATCAACAATTTGTCCTGATTTGATCTAAATAATTATACAGTTACATCTCTAAACTTTTAGCAAATGTAAAGACAGCTGGCATTGGCCTCTACTTACCTCTTTTCGAAACGTTTGGTCTTGAAACGCTGCTGCTTTTCCTCTACAAATGATGTGTTTAGTGCTCTATGTAATCTCTGATGGAGAGAACAGATTCACAGGCAGAGATCATTAGAAACACATAGGTCAGGGGACAAAACACTACTTGAGACTTAATGATGTATGTAGTCACTTCAAACTTTGACCACTTTAAACAAATTTCCGGGAATGCCTTAAAAACAGATCAACATTTAGCCCCAAATCTCAAGAGCACAGGAATTCTAATTATAGGTTATTATTCTTCCTGGAGGAAAAAAGAAAGTGATCTGATAGAAAGCTTAGAAATGCCCTGGATTGTAAACGGTATGTGACATAAGGTGGCTCCATCATAACGAATGTGTGGCAAAAGGTCTTGTACAATTGCTAAAGATAAATCAAAAACTTAAGCCTGAACTTCTTGGCAACCAAAACAAAGAAGGGAAGACGGACTTGAGAATTAAACTAACCCTATTAGCATATAATAGAGAAGACCTATCTAGAAAAAGAAAAAGCATTGTGTTAACAAAGTGAGGGGGATCAGCGCGAGAATACATGAATGGGGCAGAACTGGGTGCACTGAGAGGCAGGAGGGAGCCCATCATAGGGGAAGCCAGGGTGGATCATCTTTGTGGCAGGTGAAACTGCCCAGTTAGAGTTTGTCTGTCATTTAGAAGACTTCTGACTGTATTTTGGCTCTCCACGCCAGTTTCCTTCAGGGAGAGATGTAGAGACAAGTGTGCTCGAATTGCCAGTCCACTCAACAGTTTCAGTTCTCCCTGTAAAATCAGTGTGTTGGTGTCTGGATTTCACGAAAGAACTGCGGCCCTGTGAGGCTTGACCTGGGCACCAGTGGGGCTCAAACCTCAGACCAGGAGACAAGCTGAGAGAACAGAGGCAAGTGGGGTCACTTAAAGGGGAATTGAGACTTCAAACTTATTTTGTGGGTTTCAATTTTGGCAAGAAAAGAATATAGGAAACAAATCTTTCACACCATTTTTCTCAGATTGTCACTGTTAAGTGAAGCCTGGTTAAAAACGGTTCTATTGCTTCTATTATGGGTGACAATGGAAGGTTATAAGAAAGGAAGGGGATAGCTTATTTTAAGGGGAAAGTGAATTAATGGGATAGAGGGAACCCCTTCTTCTATTAATACAATCAGAGTGCCTATACCACCCTTGTGATTGTGGTAATTTATCATTCGTCAGTCTGATATAGGGCTCTGGATCCTCCCATCACTGGGAATTCTACAGTTTAAGAATATTGGAGAAAGACACCTGTGCCACTCACCTGACTGGTGTGGAGCCAGTATTGCAGCTTGGATTTGTTTTTGATTCGTGGTAGCAGCAGCCTGTACACTATGTGCTCACCAATGGTTGTCAAGATGGATAGCCCAAATCCGATGCACAGCAGCACGAAGAGTCCAGAGAAGTGTTTGATGCCCATTTGCAAAGTCTGTGATAGAACAGGAAAGAAAATGCCATGAATGCAATGACCCACTTGACCCAATGCTTGTTCACTCCTTTTCTTTTTAGACTCAGATTCCTTTTTTTCTGGACCTAAGGAAAGCTAGAGACTATTTTCCCCAGTGTGTTCTGTGAACTTCACTGTACTGAGCTGTGAAAGGAATTCTAGTGCTGGACTGAGGGCTGCTGAGAAGCACAAGCCTGGGGTGCTGTTCACATGCTGATCCTACTGTGGGAACTGTCCCTGGAGTTGTACCAGGGTCCTGGGTCTGCACCACCTTCCAGTCTCTTAGAGAGAGAGAGAGTAAGGGAATTGAAACAATTTAATATGCTAAAACATTCTATCAAGGAAACAATCTTCCTCAGGGACAGAGAGTGAGTAGATTTAAGGGGAAAAGATGATGAATTCAGTAATTACGGACTTTGAATCTGTCACAGAACATGGAGATCATTTAGTTCAATGCCATCATTGTACAAATAAGGAAACTGAGACCAGAGAGGTGTAGTAGATCAAGCCAGACTACAAATTAGACAGCCATAGAGGCGAAAGAGAAGGAACCTAATATTTATTGGTTGCTTACTTTTTGCCAGTTGTTTTGCATTGAGACAGGTAGTATAATCCCCATCTTCTAGATGACAGAGATGGTCCATCTCTGTTCAGCTTTAAATCCTGGGCTCTTTCTGCTATACCACAAAATGGCAGCAATAACAACAGTTACAATAACTATATGTGGACACACTTTGCTATGAGATTTATATATTGTAAAAGTTAATTATACAGAGTGGGTCATTCTTATCCATACCCAACTATATCAGAGTCAGGTGGCCAGGGGACAAAAGCTCTCTCAGCACATAGCATCTGCTCCAAGAGTTAAATTTTCCAAAAGCCCAGCTGCTTAAACTGCCTTTTATAACCTGAAACCAGTTTTATCTAATGGCTACTAAACAATCTGCTGTGACTGTAAGATGTGTTGTACCCACCACCATCCCCTACCCATCAGGGCTTGCCAGCTCCTCAAAACTTTACTAATGCCAATGAACTTTCTTTCAAAACAACGTGTAGCATTTCTTCTTTTTATAAAACCACCAACTTTTCTTTATTCTTCAGACATGCTGCAGACTATCTAATCTGTGTGTGTGCCCTGAATGGTAACTCTTGATTCCCAAATCATGGTTTAAACTTAGAGATTCAACTTGAACAATATGCTAAGAAAACCTCACATGTACTCTGCAATAGGTATTATTCAGTCCCTGACATCAATGGCAAGAGTCATTGCTGCAGAAGGAAAAAAAATTAATGTATTGAGAGTCTACTATGCACCAGGTGTACCCATCTCTTCTGCATACTATGGGATGGAGATGGAAGGAAGTTCTAGTTCCCTGTAAGCAGCTTTAGTCTAGGGAGAAAGCAAACGTGTATGCCATCATGATACACTTGATCCATGTTTCTTGGGTTTTGTGGATAAGCTGGCTCATGAGATAAGATTTGAATAAGAGAGGCAGAATGGGGAGGTAAGGTAGGGAAAGTGAACACACTAAGCTGAGGGTAGCATAAACAAAGAGAAAAGACACGACTTTCACAGGTGTAGGAAGTTGAGAAATAGACTGCTGTAGTTTAGGGGAGGGTGCTCAAGGCATGTGTAGTGCTGTGGTTCGAATGTATGAGTTCTTCCTAAATTTATATGTGGGGACTTAAACCCCAAGGTGGTGATATTAAGAGTTGGGCCTTCGCCCTCAGGAAGGGAGCACAGCCCTTATAAAAGGATTTTAGGGAACTAGCTAGTTCTTTATGTTTCCTTTCCACCCTTCCACCATGTGAGGATATAGCAAGAAGGAACCAACTTGGAAGCAGAGACTGTATCCTCAACAAGACATCAAACCTGCTGGCACATCGATCTTGAATTCCAGCCTCCAGAACTAAGTTAATATCTGTTCTTTATAAATTATCCAATCTCAGGTATTTTGTTATAGCAGAACAAATGGACTAAGATATTTAGTAGGGAGCAATAGGGCCACACTGAGGCAAGTCCTTGGATGCTATTCTAAGAAGTGTAGGTGTCATTCCTTGGCTGGAGGCTTTTGGGCATCATTATCGTTGACAATTATTTAGCACTTCATATATGCAAGGCACAGTTCTTAGCACTTTATCAATGTAGCAACTTGCCCAATCCTCATAACGACCTATGTGGTAAATACTGTTATGATCTCCATTTTATGGGTGGGTATAGAAACTTAGCAACAAAGAAGTTCAGTAACTTGTCCAAGGTCACACAGCTAGTGGTTAGAGCTGGGATTCAAACTCATGTAATCTGTCTCCAGAGCCCACACTGTTCACTGCCTCATTTATCTTTATCTGATATAAGTGGATCCTCCCACCCTCTTTAAGGGGTTTTCTTTCTTTCATTCTCCCCACCTCTGTCCACCCCAATCCTGGAGAATGGTTCAGGCCTGGGGGGCATGGGGAATCTAATCTGGGCGTCAGGACTCAGAGGCAAAGCTCAGAGATTTTAGGCTTTGCTGGAGCCTGGGTCATGGAATCTCTTTTTCATGACAGTACTTCAGGCAGTGGCTGTGACTTAAAACCAGTGTTAGGATCCCTGGAGAAGAACAGACTAGAGCTGAGGAGAGGCTCAGAGCATGCACCAGCTCTGGGACACTGAGACACAAGGCAGGAAAACTGGGCAGATGACCTGGGAATGCTGGCTGAAGTCCAGCCCTAGGGAAGAGAGAAAGCCAGTCTAGGAAAAGGGTTCAGTGAGGAGGTTCATTGGGCCCTGAGGGCTGCAGAGATTCTAGGGCTTTTCCTGGGACATCTCTGTACAAGCAGTGACCAGCTGTATAAACCCTAACCTCCAGAAAGTACATACAAATGTGTTTGAAAATAGTCCTTGGTCTGGACCTATTTTAATGTGTAAGGACATGGCGATTATAGAAGATTTCAATGAGTTATTGCTATAGATTAGGAACAAACTGGGAAAATTCATTTTGGACTTTAACATCATCAAACATTCAGTAAAACTCTAAACATACAGGCACTTTCTTATAAGATACTGCCAAGTACTGTTTCTTATAAGATACTGCCAAGATAAGAAAAATGTAATTTATAGTGAGTCATCTTGCCTTTAAGCACATGGCTTCTCTGTTTCCTGTGTATAACAATAATTAGTCTCATTTCCTCTAATTACCTCAATAAGAAATAGGCCGTATTCAGTTTATATTATACATGTCTCTCTTTAAATTTCTGTTGTTTACACCCATATGCTAATAGACTGGTAGAAGTAGTTATTGTTTTTTTTTAATCGAGCATTTAATGTGTGCCAGACACCATATATTCATGTTATGATCTACAATAACCCTGTAAGTGAAGTATAATTATCCCCATTTCACACTTGAGAAAACAGAGGTTCAAAGAGATTAATTTCCTTTCTCAAGATCATACAAACTAATAACTGGGGAGCTAGGCTGCAGATCCAGGACTGTGTAATGTCAAAGCCCGTACTTCTTCTCGAGCAAATATTTACAGGTATCCTTTGCTGACTGAATTTTCACTGTCTATTCACTATAATAACTACCAAAAATTTCTATTCAAAGCTCACCACTGGAATTGAAAATCCACTCTAATCTGCCTGTGAGCACCAGTGAAATTGTGTCTGAGTCTGAGTGATAAGATGTACTGCTGCAGTTGCAATTCAGCTGTTCTTCCTCTAGGATCACGGGTAAATGTGTTATGCATTAGACATGTGCATCTTCCCCACATTATTAAGTGAAAACTTTTTCTAATCCAGTGGAACTTGCTCAGCTTGACACTCATCATTGGTCAGAGGAAGAAGAAGGGGAGGCATAATGAACATTTAATGTCAAATCTTTAAAATAAGTTTAGGCGATGCAGACGAAATGATGATTGCAGTTGCAAGTGATGTGAGTGGAAGCACATTCAGAAATGCAATCACAAACCCAGTCTCAGACTGTGAAACACTATGTAAATGAAAGCCAAAAGAATGCAAACAAACATAAGTTTTGAGGGTTTTTTTTTTCTATCCTATTGCTTTATCTGAAGCTTCATTTGATAGCTCACAGCCACACACTTCCAGAGACTCAAGTGCCAAGGAGAGAAAACTCTGCCAAGATTTAGCCAGGGCCAAATCTCAGGCATTTATGGCTTCACTTGGTCCTCCACAAGCTTACGCCAGCACACCCCATCTCATTCAGGCAACTCTTTAATTAGTAACATTCAAAAAATGATCCTGTTAATTTCATTTTTCTATATGTTATTTATACTCCTTATGTTTCTTTAGCATTTTATTTTATTAATTTACATTAGTATATATACATATATATGCACATATGTATTACACTGTGGAGGGGAATCAGTTCATATCTGATACTGTACTCTTCACATTGCATCCAGGAATACCCACTAATTATGCATTAAATAATTGGTATTTTAAATGCTTTTTATTATGTAGAAATTCTTGGTGTATTGTCATATATCCATATATTCTGCACTACGATATTAAACACCTATAGGTGTCTAAGAGTGTTGTAATGATATTTAGGGAAGTTGGTTGGGGTTTTTGGGTTTTGGATGAGGTAGGATGCTTTATCATTTTTCCCACTTAAACTAATGGAAAGGGATTCTGCCATCTGGAAATTCACTAGGCAGTACATTCCCAGGAACAGACTAGATTCAGATAAAGGAGGTGTCTGTACTATCATAAGTGTGGTCTTGGACCAGATCATCAGTGCTTCCAGTAACATGCAGAGGTCAAGACTACCAATTTTGTTGTTGCCCAAACCCTGCTTTGCATTTTGTTCAGATGTGGACACTTGAAACATCTGACAACTGGCTACATAAGGGACTAGTTTTCAAGCCTCCTGCAAGAAATGCAGTTAAAGTATTTCACTCACCATTTGCCTTAGATGTTACTGATTATGGTGTGTAGCTAAGTCTCCCTTGTGCCCAATCCACACCTCCCAACATAGAGCAAC